ATAGAGCAAAATAATGTACTACGGAATTGTATATCTTAAACAGGTCTACAAACCGCGATGATATATGTCTATCTCCTATTTTTATCTTTTAAATATTACAAAAAATAATGGTTAATTTACGAAGCTATTTTAAACAATATATTATTATTTATTCTTCAATTAAATAAGTTAGTATGTTGTGCATTTAAAGTAGATTAAATTTCTCTTTACAGTATATCATTAAAATGAATATTTTAGCAGATATTAGAGGTTTAAAATGCGTGAGCACGCCGTTATCGCAACGGTAAGACCCGTTATGGAGGATTGGTTCGAGAGATATCAATTGTCTTTTACGTAGGTATATAAGTTTAGAGATGCTCGAAATTTGTAAATGGAACGCATAATTAAAAGGCAAGTTTATTTTGCAAATCGAACACAAAAGGCCACTTACAGCAATAAAAAAGTTAAATGATTAGAAGTATTTTACGGTCATCCTTAGATTATTAATTTGTCTGGATGGACAGTCAAAGTTGAGAAAACAGAGGAAAAAATAGCATCCAACTGTTGGCCTCTAAATGTTTTGCACGCGTTTAGTATAAAAAATACTGTCACTGGATACGCACACGTTGCTTTCACATCTTGTGCTGTTTATTATGATGATTTGTGTGGTAAGTGTGTAGAAATTGTAAAGGACGATCTAAATAAAATTAAACAGTCACCTAACATCGGTAACTACCATTGTTTCGTATCTGTTTCAGATAAATAAGCCATTGAATTATTTCTAAAATAAATTATTATTGTGTACGCCATTTTGTGTGTTGTTAGTTTATGAACTCAAGTCAAAACTCCCTGAAAAATGTGGCGTGCTATGTATTGTATGTAATACTTACTAGTAACTCCACCTTATTCTGTACTAATGTATAGTGAATTAGTGATATTCTAATTACTGGGTTTTAATTTAAAAGTGAATAACTTTTTAGCCGCGTTAAGTGACTGTGATGGTGCAGTGGTAGCGTAAGCGACTACTGTGCAGATGTCTCGGGTTCGATTCCCGGGTCGGACAAAATGTTTGTTCCACTGCAAATATTTGTTTCGGAGTTTGTGTGTTTTCTATACATAATATGTACGGATTTACAAAATAAAAGTATATAAGTATTCATTCAGTCAATCTAGCTTTCATAGTTACCCTTTGACCTCAAGTTTGCAGTGGCTGCCTACGTATCAGCCATTTTTGACTTGTCGGAGGCACTAGAATAAGTGGTGCCAAAACTAGTTTGGGCGTATAAAAATTTGTATACAGAGTGAAAGAGAGTATTTTGATAAAAATAAATATAAATTGTAAGTATATATTGTTGACTTTTTGCGTGTCTTAAGATTTATGTAGTGACCTACTGTAGACTCTAAAGTCATAGATCAACACACACAATAGCAGCATCTCTGTTTTATCAAATATTTAGCAAAATAAATTGAATAAAATTATATCTATCGAAAATCTATTACATATATGCGCCGGTCTACAACCGCCCCTTTCCAAGGGGTTGAACCTTATGAAAGGAAAGGGCAAACAGACTCACGGCTACTCTTTTTTAATTAACAGATAGATATAATGGCATCATTCATATTAGTTATTAAGGACTAAAAGGTAAAAAGGCAATGAAGAGAAAAAAAGATAAAGAAAAAATAGGAATGAAAGTACGAAACACACTAGCCCACACTACATTTCCACTTAAAAAATAGCATTCTTGTCTTCTGTGTAATCCGCAATTGAGTAGTAGGCTTTCTGACATAATTTACGTTTTACTGCGGATTTAAATTGGTTCATACATAAGTCTTGTATATTATTTGGGATTTTATTATAAAATCCGACACATTGATTTCGAAATGACTTGTTTATCTTTTGGAGCCTATTCGCTATGTGCGAAGTACATGGTGGGGGAATAGAAAGGCGATCGCAGCGCTTGTCGTGGCCGAAATACGCAACAATCCGGGAAAGTGAAGTCAATTTTCACGGAGTTCGTAATAAATAAAAAAATTCAAAATGCCTGATAATAAATGTTGTTGTGTTGTGAACTGCAAAAGTAACGGCACAAATAGTCGGTGTAAATTCTATATATTTCCTACATTGGACTGGAAATGAAATCAAAGAAATAAATGGATAGATGCCATAAAAAGAAATAAGTAAGCGAAATAACCTTAAATTATGATCAATTTTATTTGCGCTATATTTTATGTGATATTTATAATTATCTTTATTATTTTAGTGTTAATGGGTCATCATGGTATCCCAAACCTGAAGACACAATTTGTATTGAACATTTTATGGGAAACAAAAAAACAGACGAGGAAGAAAGTCCGAAATATGCTCCCACGATATTCCCTGAAATATATCGAAAGAGGAAGGTTATTGATTCACAGGTCCTAGCTATACATGCTTGACAAAACAAAGAACCACAAAAGTCTCAGATACCACATCAAGTTAAATAATAATTGAAGAAAGGAATGAATTAAATCAAACTCAGCCTCTTATGGTCGATCAAGGATGTCAAGTCAATATGTTTTCTGGATCGAAATTAAAAGATACAACCTTTATTTGTATTAGATTAATTTACAGTGATCACTGTGATGCTGAAATCCTAGTAGATATACTCGTAGCAACAACATAATAACATAGCAACAACACGGTTTGAGGATGGAAAAGAATATTGTGTTTTACACTTTCAAAACCAGTTTTTATAATGATATCCATTATTTTATGCACCAAACAAATGCACCAAACAAATTCCTTTAAAAATACCACTTGTCGTCTTTTTATTTATCCTAAATTTACTATATTTACTAGAAAGCAATAAAATACTGATACGTAATTATTTGGCATAATCCCGGAAAGTTGCGCATTCTAGGTGGCGCTACTGTCGTGCACATAGCCAATAGGCTAGTACAACAAGTTTAATCCTATTTCTGGTATTTATAGAATGTACATACACCACTTCTTTTCGAAAAGCTATCTTTGTTTTTATGAACATATATGACTTTTTTTTTAATTATTTAAGTGTTTAAACCTAGTATCCTATTCTCAAGGGCCATGTTCATATTACCATCTTTTGTTTGCTTTTTATCTGTTATTACATGTTTGCAGTCAGAGGGCTTAGACATAGCCAATTGTAGTTTTAAGTACGCGAAACTGACTTGCTCGAGCTTATTGCTCTTAGTCATAGTCAAGAGAATTACCCTTTTTAAACAAGCAATATGGCTTACGGAGGATTGTTACATTTGAAATTTTTACAGTTTATATTGGACTAGCTTTTGCCAGCGGCCGAAAAGGAGCCTTTGTCACTGATTATGTTGATTTCCATTGATGAATTTTTAAAATCTTTAAATTTAAAATGAAATTGTAACAAACAAACGAACTCACTAAGAAAACATAAGTATGGATGTTTAAAGAGCTTAAATTTTATAATCAGTATGTACAGTGAGTAAACTAAAAAATTAACTGTATAAAATGCGCCCTAAAAAACGCGATAAGTTTTGCGTGTTTTGAATTTGTAAATTTAAAAACAAACACAGACCGAAAAACAAACAAACCTGGGTTACAATGTGATAGAAGAGTTTGATGTTGAATTTTAAAACACTTCAATTTAATACTAATTTCTATTGTTACTTTGCCATAACACAGTACAGTGTATCTATTTGTATTCATGTGTTGTTGGTTTTCGAAGGCATACCTACATTACACAGCAATACCAAACAAAGTTTATACAATCAGCTAGAGTTTGAACCACATCCCACATCGGAACGGGCAATTTTACTTTTCCCTACCGCCGTGTGTACTCATTGCGCTTAAAACGACGGCACAAAACAGTCTGCAAGGTGCAGGCTTGACGGGTACAAACTTGTGCTTTATTAAAAAGTAAAAAAAGTGTGGCTTCACTCTTTATGAGTTAAAAAAATAATTAAGTAGTGCGTTAAGTGTGTATCATAACCAAATTATTGATAATGTGCCTACTTAAATTTGGAATATCACTGTTTTTGTTATTATTGCCTGTTATTTTAGGTAAGTCTCAATCATGATTTCATTGATGTTGTTATATGTTCTTATACCTAATCATTGATTGTTATTAAACATATTAATCAATGAAATATTAATATGTTTAATAACAATCAATGATTAGGTATAACAACGTAAACCTATTAATTTTAATTAAAAAAGAAGTTTGCAATGAAAATAAAATTTGTGTTTATTTTAAATGTTAGATACTGAAAAATTTTACTGGAATATCATAAAAGTGTAATTTTAAGAAATTGTTTGAGGGTTTTGTTATGAGATTAAAACTCATAAATTGTTATTAGAAATTAAAGTCAACCAATTCTCCGTAGTAACCACAAAAATTTGGAAATAATTTTATTTAAATTCCTTCGCTACAGGGTCTATCGGCCTTGTGTTCAACTAAATGTAACAATAAGTTATTGAAGACAGAGCAGTCTAGTAAACCGACCATTGACTCCAAGGAATGCTTGTTCATGAAACTGAGAATCTGTAGTGAACGGTTTATGGCACATGATAGAAGATGCCCACTTAGCTAATGAAAATAAAAGTACTAGATATATAATATTTATAATATTCTTAGATATTTAAGAATTACTGTATACAGTGGTACTCGTAACTAGTGTACTTATTTAGTATTGAGGTAAGGTTGAGATATAAGTAAAAATATAAGCACTGTATGAAACCGGGAACCCTAATCGTCGTAACTATTATTAAGCATATTAAAGAGATGTTTGTTATTTTTTTGTTTACTAAATCCTATATTTGGCATATTATTTTATTTTCATAAATAATTATTGCTGCGAAACTTAATACTAACACTAAAACTAAATAATTCGAAAGAACAGTAAATTAAAAATCGGTTATCAGGCTCATATACTTTCATAAGTATATGTGCCTGATAACCTGATAAATTTCTGTAGTAACGTTGTCAGGCTCATGCCTGACAACGTTACTACAGAAATTTAAAAATAAAGATATGCTCAATCACGGTAAGATTTCTATGAAATTTAAATGGGACCGACCGTCATAAATCCATTTCGAACAAAAAAAGAATTTTAAAAATCCGTTTATATATGACGGTGTTATGCCCGAAAATACATAAAAAAAATATAAAGAACCGAATTGATAACCTACTGTTTTTGAAGTCGATTAAAAATATGATTGAAAGCACTCTATCAGCATCCTTTTTTGCAACCAAATTATTTTTTCATTTTTTTCTTTACTATTGTGGTATGTGTTTTTAGTTTTTTATTCTATAATACTTATTTATTTTTCAAATTAACATCTATCACCGATTGTTTAATACTTGTAGAGCTGTCGTTATCGTATAGCCGCTAACGGTTTATGTCATGTTTCAATGTCGTAAATATTCATCACAAGGGCGTCGTAAGAGCCGACAACACCACTGCAAAGAGAAGGAAAACTTGAAACATATCTTTAGCAACTCGTATGGCTTGCCGTGGTATAGTAGGCCAAAACCTTTTCTTAGGAGAGTCCTATGCCTAGCAGTGGAATATTAAAGGCTGTTGATTTGATGATATGATATTGGCGTGAATCTCGTTAGTACCTAAAACTGTTTCACTTTTTGAAGTGAAAACTTCTTTAGTGGCGTTGTATACTTTTTTTGTAATGAGTAAAAAATGTTAAACTCGCGTCAGGACACGTGACCTGATCGAAAATTCGTAAGACGGTGGAGAGTAGACAGCCGGCGCGGCGTAGGAGAGGAAGTATCCCCGTCTCTTTCTACGGTGCGTCGAAAATGTATGCCTGCGCCTGCTGTTTCGTTTAGGCGGCGCAGGGCGCTTGCGCGAATGTTCGTGTGTGTTTATGTTACAGCGTGCCACGCGCATCCATGGATGGTGACAGCGTCTCTATAAATTGTCATGTTTGTGTACGATAGTGCAATAAATAAATATTGTATTCTACCACATAAATGATAGTACTTTTATACTGATAATTAAAGCAATTCGTGCAAAAAAAAACTAACCATTCCAAAATATCAAAAATGCACAACGTTCATATTCAAGTTTTCACTTCTGCCGGCACTCCCGGAGTGCAACCCGTCGTTTTTTGTTAATGATTCAAAGAGGCTGAGTTATTGTTGCTAATACTTAATGTTGAAAAAATTGCTTTTACTTCACATGCAGTTCTATTGTTACAAAAGCAATGTGTTAGTAACATCACTAATGATACCAACAAGGCTTTATGTTTGTCTTGTAGACATGCAAGGCCTTCTAAGATAACAATACCTAAAATGAGAAAGACATCACTAATGATTACTATCTAATATTTTACAGTATAACCATATATTTGGTTCTGTTTTAATCAAGTGCAATACCGCTCTGAGCAAATCCAGAAAGGAAGAGGTTTGGTGTAAAATCAGTAAGTTTCTTCTCTCACTCACCACAACAATACTGGACATGATACTTGGTTAGACAAAATGCTTACTTCTTGTCCTTCGTTTGTGCACTTTTATGAAAAGCATACGACTCTGAGTCTTTATCATCGTAAACTTATCTTCATTTCTTTGTCTTAAAAACACTAAGGTACGGTATTACCCTCTATTTCCTGAACGGCGCGGGTGCTCCGTAGCGCGTCGCGTCTCTGCCACGGCCGGCTTCAACTAGGGTCACAGGTGACTTTATCTATTACCGTCAAGCCTGCACTTATGGAGGGCGGAGGTCGAATAGAAATTGAGCTGAGTTAAGAATGACAAATTAATTTTAACAGTGGGTGTAGGGGATGAGTACGGAATAAGCATTTGGGATAATATAAGAATGGGATGAGATTCAGTAGGATGAAGACGGAACAACCCAAAAAAGGATAACTTTATAATACATTTACATAACATATTTATATGTATAGAAAGTTTCTCGTTTAGTTATTAAATTAATGTAGATGTGAACCGTTAATATAAAAAACCTTATCATAAACTTTGTTATCCTCTTATAAATCAGAAAATAAGAAATAAATATGAGAAACATGTAAATTTTAATTACATAATAAGAGGTGGTAGATGAAATATCAATCAATGACCCGTCCAAAAATAGAAATATAGAAATGGAGATGAGGTGAATAGTGTAACTATAATTTAAATCGTAACAGTAAAGCTAAATTTTTATTATTTTATTTACATACAAATAAGGTTCACTGCTTTAAATTTATATATTTTCTAACTATGTAACGGCGGGATAGTAGTTTAAAAGTAAGCCTTAGAGAAGATTCGAGCCAGCTTGTTGATGTAAAGAGCTTATAATATTGAGATAAACATACTTGTTTATGTGTAATGTTAAGTGTAAGGCTTAAGAGTCATTGTGCATGCAGCATATTGCAGCTGCTATTGCCTCATTCAGGGACCGGTCAATTGCATAATCGGTGATGCATAAAAAGTGGAACAACTTTCAAAGAAATCAAAATAAATGATTGCACACACAAGAAAAATAAACACTTTCGCTTACATTTTTTTTACGATTTAAAGATTATTTTATAAACTTATAAACAAGGATTGATTGCTTACGAGAACATAAAATAGCAATGGCTTTCGGCGAGACTTTTCTGCTTTGATCACGATCAAAAATGAAGAAAAATTAACCCACAAAATAAAAACAAATTATTAACTTTATTTCAAACTAATCAGGACAGTGAGTTATTAAACGAATGGGACACTAGCTTTTGCCTGTACGTTCAGGAACAGTCATTTTGCTGATCGACAGGTACCCATGAGTGGCTAGTAAAGGCGTTAATCCAACAGCATCGGTAGCGCAGTGACTGTGGAATAGCGCTTATAAAGAGAAAGTGTGGATAATGCAGCTATTTAGGCTCATATCAAGATCTTGACAACGTTCCGTACTATAGTGCAGATAGCAACGGTATATTATACTTAGGTGTATGTATAGTTTAATATGTTTTGAAAGTGAATATGCGTAACGATAGTATTTTTATTATTTTACTAAATCTTTTGTTGCTTTTACTTTTAATTGGATTAAAAAAATATATAAATTAAAATAATTTATGTCACGTAAATATTCATAGATAAGGAAGAGCAAAAGGAGATTTATCAAGAAGTCAGTGGACGCACGATTATTCAATCTGTAAATGACGTCACTGTGCTCTTACTCTTGAAAATTAGGTCACATTTTTTTTTTTAATAGACGACTCCCGCATTAGGAATGCGGGGAACTTTACAAACATACATAAAATGGACACAAATAACACCCAGACTCAGAACAACAATTTGTAGATCATAAATTTAGGGATCGAACCCACAACACTCAGCATAGTAGAAAGCAGTGTGGCGACCGCTTAAAACACTGCGCCATCCGTGCAGTCGATTCTCCGGTCACATTCTACTTGCACGTTGAACAATCCTTGCGAACACACACAGTAGTACGTCTTCTTAAATGGTAGGCATAGAGGGGCAAGAGATTATTTATTGAATGAGTAGGGAAACTCATAGTGAAATTGGTTCACACGAAACGCGAATTTCTCCCACTAATTTATTCTTAAATCGCGTTGGGTACTTGTTGTTTTAACATTATTTATGAGTATGAATGCCGAGTACAATAATTTGTTCTTTGTGTGAATGTAATAAACTATAATTTTGATATTATAATAATATTTTCGGACATCTTACACACAAGGCCATCTAGTTTCAAACTAAGCTGAGCAGGATTTGATTTGTACTATGAAAGCTAGATTGACTGATGGAATATTTATATACTTTTTGCTAATACGTACATATTATACATAGAAAACACCCAAGCTCCGAAACAAATATTTGCAGATCATACAAACAGTTGGTCCGACCCGGGAATCGATCCCGAGACCACCAAGGCTTTATGTATGTATTTAGCATATAATTATGTTTATCAGCAGTCTGGACAGTCATCGTAGTTTTGGATCAGACAGCCGTGTGCAAGATCTATCAAGTTTTTATTATTTGATATTTTTGTTTTCGGTGTCCATAATATTTTTTTGTTTTATTGCAGTAACAAAAGCAGATGGAGACATGTTGTCAATGGTTGATTTCCGTTACTTTCGTTGTGTTATGAAGCGAGAGTGGAAATGTCCCGATAGTGAAATCAACTTTTTCTTGCACACTCCGTAAGTAAATTCTTGTAAACATTCTTTTGTATAATAATATCTATTGCCCGCGACTTTGCTCGCATGATTATTTCTTATTTCATGTTTCTAACTTTGAAAATGACGAACTCCCATACAACCGTTCATCCCATATTTACCCCCTTAGGGGTGAAATTACCAAAAATCCTTTCTTAGCAGGTGCTTGCAATATAAAAAGGGTCATCTGTCATTTCAAGTTTGTAGCACCAGCGGTTTAGGTTCTGCGTTGATGAATCAATCGCTCCGTCACTAAATATCATATTCTCAAAAGATTCACATCTCACTCACATTCGCAAGTAAGCAAAAGCAAGTAATTTTATATTTAGTGTGTAATAGACTGCTACACTCATTTAATGTTAATTTTGGAAAATTGAAATTGATTTAATACAATATTATTATTAGAGGAAACACTGGAGGAGGCATATACTCTCCCAAGATTCCGCTGTAGATACTGACACGCAGGTAGGACATTACAGTCGTTAATACAAAAAAAATGCTTTGCCCGCAGCTCCGCCCGCGGTAAAAAGGATGTTCTATGTCCTTCCTTTTCCTACAAACTTCCACCACTCTTTTCACCCCCTTAAAGGATGATGATACGTCTTTTCTCGGGACCCGAACTATCTCTATACCAAATTTCATCTAAATCGGTGCTGCAGTTTAAGCGTGAAGAGGTAACGATAGATAGACAGACAGACACTTTCGCATTTATAATATTATCGGACCATACTATCGGGCTCATTTTTACTCTTGGGAGATATAAATTCGTGTTCATATTTTATATTTGACGTTTAGTCGTCCAATTAAAAGATTTTAAAGGATTGTACTGACTTTCTTATAGTAATAATAGTATACATACGAGCTGACGGGTCACTTGATGGTAAGTGACTATCACCGATCATTGACACCTGCAACTGAAGACATTCAATTAAGATACAGATAATAAATAGGTAAACAGTAAGACGAAGCGGAAGAAACCTTGGTCTTTGGTTGTTCCACAGTACGACCTAAAGTACAAGCAATGGTTGTCTAAAAAAAAAGAAAAAAAAAGAAAACAATTATTAATAATCTCACTTTTCAGCCAACGGGGAATTTTACATGTTTTAAAATCATAAATGATTAAATGTTGTATGTTGGTTTCCAGGGAACGTCCTCAAAAGAAATATATCGATCCTCGCTACCCGAAACTTCTACATTATTTTGGATGGCATCCGTCGAGAAAGAACGTCCTCATCATACACGGCTTCAATGGCACTAATACGAAATCACCAATGACTTTTCTTCGTGATGGTATGTTTGAACATCGTCATATTTGTAGCTATGATTACAAGTATCTAAACTTCCCAGATTATTGTTTGTCACGCGGTATATCATATGGGCTGATAACTCTGACCATAAATACCACCTACCTTGCTATATACTCGTACCTACCACTCTGTGTGATCCACAAGTTTGTTGTTGTTCTGGGTCTGGGTGTTTTTGTATCCGTTTCGTGAATGTTTGTAAAGATTCCCCTCGACACAGGATATATTCCTAGAGCGTGAGTTGTCTTAAAAAAATATACTTTTAGAAGTATTTAATAAACAATATTAGTATTAAATAAAAAAGTTACTCAGCAGTCTGATTATCATGTAGGGCTCGGCTTATTTTGGGACCTGACGGCTGTGTATTCTGTGTCAAGATATTTTTTTTAATAACATTTTTATATTTTGCTTTGCAGCTTACCTGTCGCGTAAGGATTACAACGTGTTCATGGTGGATTGGTCGGTGCTCTCCAGGTTCCCATGTTACCTTTCTTCTCTGTCTAACATGAAGTAAGTGAATCTATACTATCCATACTAATATATGCGACAGTGTGTCCGTTTATTTATCTGCCTGTTACCTCTTCACTCTTAGACCGTTGATCAGAAGTCATCCTTTAAGGGGTGTAAAGATGGGTGAAAGTTTGTATAGAGAATCAATAACAGCTAAACCTATTTAAATGAATAATGGTATGGAGATAGTTTGATTTGCGGGGAAGGATATAGTATATAATAGGGTATAAAATATTACAAATGCGAAAGTAACTCTATGTCTTCTACGCTTTCACGAGTAGGTATACCGCTTAACAGGTTTCAATGAAATTTGTCATGGAGTTACTTTGATTTTTTACGAAGGACATAGGACATACTTTTGAAGTGGTGGTGGAGTATGGTAGAATAACAAAAAAATTATAGATTATAAGATCTAAATAAGATACCCATATTACGTCAATGTTTTTACAAAGGGCATACAGTGAAGCATGACTTTTCTAGAAAGGCTGCGCAGTGCACGGCGCAGTTGTACTCTGCAATCACTCAAGCGGGAGCATTGGCCAAAATGATCACCTGCGTGGGTCATTCCTTGGGTGCTCATATCTGCGGCATGGTGTCCAATCACCTCACTGAGCCGCAATATAAAATTGTGGGTGAGTAGTCTGCTTTCAATTTTTAACGTCCATAAGTTAAGGGTCGGCGTGTGCAATGGCTTCTTAAGTCTAAACTTGTAGGACAAAACATTATACGTGTCTAACAGAGGGTTCCCTCTATCTGGCAGAATCTTGTTGCTCCGAAATTCAATTATTGTTTGGTCGAATGTTTATATGTCCTGTAACGTGTATATGTGTTAGTCACAGAAACTTTCGGCGATATGATGGTTCTACTTTTTAATTATTTTGGATATGCAGTTTATGCCTAAAGATGATTATGACTTACGAAATTATGAGTTTTGAATGTATAATAAATGAGTGTCTGCCAAACGATTTTTTGCGAAATGAAGTTTATGCTATGCGTTGTTATGCAAAATAATATTATGACATAAAAAGTTCTGGTATAAAAGGTACATACCTTTTATACCAGAACTTAGTACTGGTGGGAGGTGTGATACAGGGACTTCATATACACTTAGAATCGGAACTCTGAATCTTGTAGAGTTGTTAAATACCTGAAGATTCAATTGTTAATAGAAGATGATGTTGCCAGAATATAATGTCTGAAGAGTGTGGGATTTGAACAGTTTGCAATATTACGAATGTGAGATGGCAGTACCTATAGGATATATATTAAAAAGTAAACAAGAATATTGGACATCCAACAGATGGTCTCCATTGGTGATATACGTCGATTTACACCATTGTCCCAAACGACGTCTTCAAAAAGCATCCTTGTGTGATTTTCACCGTGGTGTCAATCGACTATGTACTCTTATCTTTTATTTATACCCGTATTTATACTCTAAATCTTCTGCACATAATGTATTCATTTTCTATCACCTTACTTAAGAATGTTCCACCTATAATTATATTTTATCTTGCCACCACAAAGACAAAAATACTATTTTAGATATACGAGTATTGAGGGAAGTGATAATTATAAAGCTGCTGTACCCTGCCACGCTTTGCGTTGGTATGTTGTAGGATGAGGTATAAAACTGACGCAAAAAATAGATAATAGAGAATAATAAATTATATTTCATGTCAAAATTTGACCTCAATCAGTGTAGAACTTTGAGTTTTTGAAGCGTACACAAACCAACCTAACATTTTTTATATAAAGATAGATAGATTTATCATAGTTTGGAAACATTTAAAATTGTGTCGCAAGGTCGCGAAGAAAGATATTTTATTGTATTGCGGTCAAAAGGTCACACGAGAACACGGATCACTCGATGGTAAGTGCTGCGCGTTACTGCCCTTTAGGTAAGTCCCATCCTCCGAGATATAGGGCAGGGGGGGGGGGGGGGGGGAGATTTAGGCTCTGGTAATTTCACTCACTCGGGGAAAAGAACTAAACAGCTAGTTATTAGGTGCGGTGTTAAGCAATTCTTTTCTTTCTACTTTGAGAGCGGACTTTTGGACCGTGAGATCCTCGTAACACTCCGGTCAAGCCGGTCGATGCCAAAGCATAGCTCTCTCATAACACTGCCTACAGAATATACCAACCTAGTGTCCTAGTGGCATACATATGCAACGGCATAAAATACGTGAACCATTAAAGAATACCGCTACTAAACTGTTTATCACAATATTTATCTTCATATTAGCTTAAGTTAGAGGAAAATAGCAATAAATGTGTAATTTATGCTTCAGTGAAGTCTTCACCATCTAATTCCAAAACGACTTACGCACCGAAACAAACCTTACTCATAAATACAAATTATTCCTCATGATTATTTATAGGTGGCTCCTTCTAGGGAAGTAGTAAGTGGCTCCAGATCGCATAAGATCGCGAAGATGGCCAACGTTGAAGGAGGCCTACAAGCTCAGGTTCGAGATAGGCCGAAGAGAGCTAGAGAGAGAGATTATTCACAGAGTAATAAAGATTATTTTTCACAGGCGCACAGTATTATATTGTACTTACCTAGGTACTATATTTATGTATATTAATAATATTTTTTGTACATTGCAATGCGCTCTCCTATTTTGTACATCACCCGAAGGTTGGCTAGCAGAGAATATCTAAGGCATTAAGTCCAACGTTATACTCTGTGTTTAAAATTAAATAAATAATATTAAGTTTTAGGCAACCACTACCAAGGGCAATCAGATGTTCCCAACACCCGTACGGCGCACTAGTTTCCCTGTCTAAACTCATCTATGTGTATCACAAGTAAGGCAAGAAGGTTCAGTGGGCAAGAAAAAAAACCTTGGAAGTTATAACATTATACAACTAGTAATAAATATAATTACTTCACTATTTAGTTACAACGATACATTGTTAAAATTCATTAATAATAAATATCTCAAAAATATTTTTGGATAAAGATTACATTTGGTTAATACGTAGAATGATCTATCTTATAGCTGAGGTTGTTTTGGCAGCGACAGGGTTATGGTCTTGGTTTCCAAGTATGCATTAATACCGTCCTCGCCCCTGTAAAATTAAATGGTAAACTTTTAGCTCTTTATCTGATTTGTTATTACAACTACCAATGACCAAAACTGCTTAAAATACAGATCTAATTTCAGCGCTACTAAATTCATTTTAGTATAAAATGCAATGACAATCATGAACGTTCTGCTTTCTATAAAATTTTCAATACCTAGTCAAAAATTGTGTAAAATGTGCCCCTTGATAAACAATACGAGTTAATGTAACTTATTCAATTTTATTGCTGTATACTCACATTTAGGCGTTTATATGTAAATGAGTTATAATTTAGTAATAATTCGTTAACTTTTACTTACAATTCTCTACCAAGACCAGAGTCCTTGAAGCCACCAAATGGAGTTTGACTAGTTACATGATCGTAGGTATTAATCCTGAAAACATAAATATTAAAAGTTTTGTAAAATAGTACCAGACGACCAGAGGGGTAGTGGTTTGTGTACCGGACTGCTATTCCAAAGGTCGCGGGTTCGATTCCCGCTCAAGTCAAACATTTGCATTTAATGTTTGATTTGGTTTGGGTGTTTCTGTATATAATGTGTATGTAACTACAAAAAAAATGATATTTGTATTTATTTCAGTTGTCTAATAACCCATAGTACAAGCTCTGCTTTGTGACTGGATGGCGTTGTGTGAATGTGGTTGGATTTTATTATAAAATTATAGTAGATTTTGAAAACTTCAGTAAAAGAAAGGAAGAGAAAAAATAATAATTTTACTGGAGAGAAATATTAGTTGCCGCCAAATATACTTACCAAACGGAACCCGCCCTCACTTGTTTAGCAAAGCTCAATGCCGTGGTGATGTCATTAGTGATGACACCAGCTCCAAGACCGTAGTTGGTATCATTAGCACGGTCTACTACTTCCTCAAAAGTATCAAACTTCAGGATGCTTTGCACTGGGCCAAAAATCTAAGATAAAAAGGTAATCTTTGAAAACTGCGAATTTAAATATAAGAGGAAAAAAGCCTATAGGTATTTCTCAAGTTTTAGCGAGTTAATCCCTTTATAAACAATTCTCGGGTCCTGTTTCTCGGTACTTTTTTTTTATTAAATCAGTAGGTACTATAGTTACTTCAATAAAGTTTGAGATATATACTCGTATTACTTAGATAAAAGACATATTAAAATCAACTCTCATATAAATAATTAGAGACAGTTTTTTAGACTAGAACAGAAACGTGTCTTGGAAAATCAGTCTACCACACCGACTTCACAAAATACACATAAGTTTATTATTCGTACCTCTTCTCTAGCAATCTTCATATTGTCGGTGACATCTGCGAATACGGTTGGCATGACGTAATATCCCTTTCCACCTATTTTGTCACCACCGGCCATGCATTTTGCGCCACCTTCCTTACCGGCTGCGATGTATCCAAGTACTTTGTCATACATCTCTTTATCAATCTATTAAATTTATGAAATTATATAAAATCAACGAGAACATTTTTGCACCGCAACGTTATGGGCAGGGTCTTGAAACATACCCTGTCGAGAGCGATTTGATGTAAAATAAACTTTCATTGGGTCCTAAGAGGCCCAAGAGTAAGTTTATTACACATCATTTTGGGTCACATCTCGGTCACCGGGACGATCGAGATGATGTGAAATAAACTCACAATTGGCACTCTGTATGTCTTTTTTTTTTTATTCGTGTGGTACCACAGATTACCCCCATCTCATATGACGCCTAGGACCGACCATTTAGCTAATAATGACTCTGCGATTATATGTCAATTTAAACATTAAATTATGTTTTAGTTAAAAATTAATTTGACACACAGGAACACGCCTCACCGGTGCTAAAAATCAGTATCTGTTAGGCACTGTCAAGTTTATAGGTTCAACTCCAGCCCAATAAAATATTTTTTATGTAAAGCATAATGTATAGTTCTTTGAATAAATGAATTTAAGAAAAATATATATCTAAGCACATTTACTTGTACACATCATAGTAACGTATTAATGTGTAAAAATAACAATTATTATTTTTATAGACCCATGAAATGGTTTTATTTAGTAATACACGTACTTGGGGTCCTTGTTGCACGTCATCGAAGGGATTTCCAACGGATCTTTTCTTAGCTATTTCAGAGGCCTCCTTGACAAATTTATCGTAAATACCAGACTGTACGTATGTCCTGGTACCAGCGCAGCAGCACTGACCGCCGTTAGCGAAGGCTGCAGCGTGAGCGATTTGAGCTGCTTTTTCAACTGAAAAATATTGATTCAATATCAGTTTCAGTTAAATTCACGTTAAAGCCACATTACGAAACCTAAATCAATACAAAAATTATAAGTTAAAATTAGTAATGAAAAGATAAATACTTCTAGGCAATTATAACATTATCTAATACCTTTAAACGAGCAATTCTTGTTTATATATATATATATATATATATATATATATATATATATATATATATATATATAATCCGAATCTCGTCAACGGTTCCAACGATTTTCATGAAATTTAGTATGCAGGGGGTTTCGGAGGCGATTAATCGATGTAGCTAGGCTTAATTTCTTGAAAATTTACTAAAAAAATACCGAGCAAAACTCAGTCATCCAGTGACTCTTAAATCATAATAGCTTTTGCCCGCATCTCCGCCCGCGTGTTTGTCGGTTATCACGGTAAAGACTAACCTATGTTACTAATAATGAAGCTTTCCATTGGTGAAAGAATTTTTAAAATCGGTTTAGTGGTTTAGGCCTTGAAGCGTAACAAATAAACAAACTCACTTTCGCATTTATAATATAAGTATGGAAGTAAGTATATCAAGTTAGTCTACTCCATCGTTACTATTGCCTTTATTTTGAGTATGTGTGTGTGTGTGTGTGTGTGTGTGTGTGTGTGTGTGTGTGTGTGTGTGTGTATATATAAAATTGTTTCAATTTACCATTAGCATCATTGAAAACAACCAAGGGACTCTTTCCACCGAGCTCTAAAGTTACGCGCTTCAGGTTGACGGCTGATGCTGCACCCAGAATAATGCGACCAACCTGCAATCATAATAATAATAATAATTTCTTTGAGTCATTAGTTTATGAAGAAACATCCAGCAGGACCCATATTTCAAAACGTTATGAAATATTGGGGAATTATTTAGGGACTTCGTGATCGATGAAAAAAATCCGATAACCAGATTACACAGTATATTACAGAGTACTATGTACTACGATAGTCATTAAAAAAAACACTAAGAAAGGAAATTATAATAAAGTTGATATACTCATACGCACCCTGGCTATGCTATTTTATGTTGAACGGACAAACGGTTAAAAATGTTTAAACGGATTATTCCGTTTTCATCCCGCTTAATCTTATCCCATTCTTATATGATAACAAATGCTTATTCCTTTAAAATTAATTTGTTATTCTTAACTCAGCCCAATTTCTATTCTTAAGTCATTCCAACCCAAAAAGTACTGAAAAAGTATGGATACAATCATGTACTCAACCAATACAATAATTAATAAAGTTACTAGTTAGTTCGATCCCCACATGGGACAACACTTTGCGTGATACACAAATTGTTGTTTGTGTCTGGGTCTAGGTGTTCTTTGTGTCCGTTTCATAATTGTTTGTAAAGTCCCCCGCGCGACAGGAAACATTAATTGTGCGGAAGTTGTCTTTTAAAAAAAAAAGTTTGCCAATGCATATTTTGGCATATGCTTTACTTTAAAACCGATATAATTTATGTATAGGATATATGTTCAAGTGTTCACGAACACTGATAAAGTGAAAGAGATCACAGAGCACAGAGAGAGAGAGAGAGAGAGAGAGAGAGAGAGAGAGAGAGAGAGAGAGAGAGAGAGAGAGAGAGAGAGAGAGAGAGAGAGACCTTTCATTAGAATAAGCTCTCAAGATAATTCAAACAATACCTAACCGTTTTCTATCTGCACCTTGTTAATTAAAAGGTAATAGATTAATATTATAAAAAGATTAATAGTAATAAGATTATAAATAAATTACATATGATAAATATTATTTTGCATCTGGTTTATGAGATATAGGTGTTTATTTTGATATTCAATAATAGTTTCGATTTACATTATGGTAGGTTATAATAATTATGTAATAGGTGTTGTATATATCTCTTATTTTAAAATTATTTTTACTTCGTTGATTTCTAGAGTTGATAATTGTCTTATATGTAATTAGTTTCGTTTGAGTTCTGTTTCTGTAATTATTACATTGTTTTGATCATATCTCTCTTTTAATTAGTAACATGCTTGTGTAATTTGCATTAAACATGAAACATTATTTTCAATTTAGATGCGCTTTAGTTACTTACTCAATACAATGAGGTGTTAATAACTTCCTTTTTTTCACAGTCATTTAAATTTTGTTTGCAAACTGTACCCACGAAAAGGGTGTTTTTATAAAAAAATGTGGTAAGGTGAGTTAAGAATAGCAGATTAAACAAAATGGGATGAGTTATGAAAAAGACGCAGAAGAATGAGATTCAGTGGGATGAAGACGGAACAACCCAAAAATTCATGGCTTATGTACATTGTACAAACTATTACATCACACAATCTAAATCACACATATTGTTATCATCATATTGTTAATAATATTAAATAACAAAACATCTCCAAACATTAATACTTATTAGTCAAAGTAGAATTGTCAAAATATTAATCGAACATTTATAATTCTCATACAGGTATTAATAGCCAAATAACAACAATACGCTCTTGTTATTCCTGTTAATTTCAAATCGATATCGTAGCCCATCACGATAATGGCATTGTGTAGTTGCCTATTTCACCTTGTTTTATTGACCATTATTTATTATTCAAAGGAAACTATGGCCTTAAATCCATTACAAACATACAATACACAAAAAACATTTTGTAAATCTGTTCTAATATGCCTGATTTTTAAACCTTACTGCCCTATATTATTACAATATATATGTATATATATAACGTAAGGATAAAAAGAAAATTCTTAACCTCTGTAGATCCTGTGAAAGCAATCTTGTCCACATCAGGGTGGTGTGTAAGCGCTGAACCAGCAGTAGGCCCATAACCAGGAACCACATTCACAACTCCGGGAGGGAACCCGATTTCCTTGATTAAAGCAGCAATAGCCAAGGCTGTCAGGGGAGTTTGCTCAGCTGGCTTTAGCACTATTGTGCAACCTAAAAAATTATTTGAGATTAATGAGTTACTATATTGTCATTCCTTAACTCTGCATAAAATGCTGACTTGCATGTAATTCTATAATAATACGTAAGGAGAATTCTTCGCACGTGAATTTCGACGACGTGGTAACGTAATATTTTGAATACCTAATGTTTTTGCATAGAACAAGTGGAGAAAACCAAAGTTTTTAAATAGGCTAACGAAGTTTAAGGCATTTAATAGGCACACGAAAATGGCTGCATCGAGCCACACGCGTCCAGTGAATGTATAATATGTATAAGTTGAATTTTAGTAGTACACAAGTCACGAGCATGTAAGGTCACAATTTGACCAACGGATTCCTGTTAGAGATACATATGTAAATATGTATGTTAGTCTATTACTAAATACATTTCTAGTAATCGTTCCTGTAACTAACATGTGACATGTGCAAAAAGAATTCAGAGATAACATTTAAATCGGCCATCGTTTCTATGTCATGTTCTTTATTAATTATACATAGAGATATGCATGAAAACTAATAGGTTAAAAGCAGATCGCACTTGGGTCAGTAGGTATTTCACATCATCACATAAACAGCCTTTAATTGTCCACTGCTGGACATAGGTCTCTCCTAAGAAAGGAGATTTTGGCCTATTATACCACGTTCACCAGAAAGGTTGGTATAGGGTTTGTGCCAAGTTTTGCTTCTCCTTGTAGTGCTGTTGTCCTGCGCAGTTTACTCACTTAGTCGGCTCTTACGACAGCCACAAGATGAACAGAGATGGTGAAATTCCGTATTCTTAGTCCGTCACCACACGAATGATGTGAAAATAATTAGGTATTTAGCAAATAGTAATAAAATCGCCCCAAAAGATAAGAAATAAAGCAAGGAAATTCGCATCGGATAAAGCGCACCTCTAAGGCCGTTTTTTTATATCCGATCATCTCTACTGATATTTCTTTGTCGACGTACCTGCAGCTAAAGCTGGTGCAATTTTCCACGTCATCATAGGAATTGGATAGTTCCATGGTATGATCTGTCCAACTACACCAACTGGTTCCTTTAACGTGAAAGACAATACTTCACCATCTGCAAACAAAAGATTTTTGTATATTTTATTGCGGGTTAAGTAATTCTTGCATCTTATCTCAAGGTTTAGATAAGTTTCTAAACTATCTGTTACATTTTAAAGTGCAATTGTGACTATATGTGTTATAGTGTATAGTTATGCCCTTAGCTGAATTTGTGTCACTGTAAACTGAAACTATCCTACCTAGACAGTTCGAAGTTCCTTATCGCGCGTTGTGAAAGGGGGCTAGACGGAAAAAAATCTCACGAAAAGTTGTAACGACACTTTTTATGTCAGTCATTCAGCGCCATCTATCGAATAGATAGGAAATCATTAATGTATAAATTGTTTTAATTAGAAACCAACTGAAAAATATGTAGGTAATAGCCGCTTTCATAGATGGCGTTGTAATTAAAATCGTGTCGAATCAGTTTTACTCGATCGTCACAACTTCGTTCCTATCGGGTGTCCCACGACACCACACGGCTTTTCTTGTTTCTCATAGTGTACGATTAAATTTTCTTCTATTATTATTTGATACGCTTAAAGATCGAAAATTTTCACAGTTCACAAGCATTGTGGCAATCACGGAAAACCCACAACGCAAAATTTCGGTAAATTTGGTCCAATTTCGTCCTGGTATTGTCTATTTCTTCTTATGGATGCCCGTAAATTCTTTAATGTTCTTTAATGTTTATAAAAGATAACTCCCGCATTAGGAATACGAGTATATCCTGTGTCGCAGGGGACTTTACAAACATACATGAAACGGACACAAAGAACACCCAGACTCAGAACACCTATTTGTGAACACTTTGCACGCAAAGTGTCGTCCCATGTGGGGATCGCACTCACAACACTCAGCGTAGTAGAAAGCGGACCGCTTAAACCACTACGCCAACCGTGCAGTCATACATATTTATTGTCCTATAATTACTTACATGGAAAATCGATAATCAATAAACAATCAATATGCAGAGGTATTCATAGACTGACTCAACCTGTGCAACTTGATCCACCAGTAAGATTATTTTAAAAGTATTGATGATGTCGATTCCCTTATAAACTACTATATTTAATGTATTTTCTAGATTAATGATAGATGGGTTTTAATTGTCATTATTATGATAAACCGTACAATTGTACAGTATATTGTGATGGTAGATACATCTGAATGTTACACAGCAGACACTCATAGGAATACACCTAAGTAAATATCATGTACCATAATGATCATTGCAACATCATTTATATTCATGGAATGTATATCTCAGCAAGTAATTACTGCTCTACTAAGGAGAATAGCGACCGACTGATGCATTATTAAAGTTGTGGTAACTTTGCTAGGTGGTTAAAACGAGTTTTGTAGGAACAGGTATTGAATAAAAAAAAAAAAAATAAAAAAAAAAAAAAAAAAAAAAAAAAAGGTATTGAATAAGGATATTATAGTTAAGATACCCAGGCCAGGTTGACATGGTTTATCACCGCTATTTTGTAAAAGACAACAAAAGTAACAAGTCATTATCACGCAAGAGTATATCATCCTCAAAAGTAAAAGTGCGCTGTATGATTATAAACTTCTTAAATTTATCATACAATTTTGCTATTTATATTACACAGTAGTTATTGCCCGCGACTTCTTCCGCTTGAAAAAGTTACTAATTCACATACAAATTGCTGTGTCGTGGTTGGTCTTCGAAAATGACGAACTTACATACAAAATTTCATTTTCTATTAAGCATTTTTTCATAATAAAAGGTAGCCTATATACTGCCCCAAGCTCTAGTCTATCTCTGTACCAAATTTGATCAAAATCGGTTCAGTGGTTTAGGCGTGAAAACGTAACAGACAGACAGACAGAGTTACTTTCGCATTTGTAATATCAATTATCATTAAATCAATAATTATAAATCATCATCATGAAATATTTTGTCACTGAGTAAATAATAAATACAATGCAATTATTACATGAAATCAAACAAAATCATCCTAAACAGTCCGAGTTAAACCGTGGTGTAAACCGCGGTTAGTGATACACGCGCTGTAATGTGATTACAGGGACAAACAGTTACCCATATGTTATGTCGACAAGTCGATAATGAATTTAAATTTATATGATATTTTATTCGGTTAAGACAATACTTAGCAATATGAGTTAAAATCTGACTCTACTTCAGAAGACATCTGTTCTATTAAACAGGTACAAGAGAAACAGATGTCTTCTGAAGTAGAGAACAGATGATAGTTTTAGTATACTGTCACTGTTGTCGTTTTCAAATAAGTGATGTAATACAACTTTGTGATCTTACTTTTATTATGTAGAACAGAGATGAGATCTCGAATTGTATTGGTCTTTCCACTGAACTGCGACTGCGACAAATGACGCAGTACCTATGGCAGACCGTCTACTTGTAGTCTATTCGAATCCGACACACTATAATATAATAATATACCCCAGCACAAACCCATACAAATAAGGGTGAGCATAGGTACCCTTTCAGCCAGAAAAAAATATTATTTCCCATTGATAGAGTAATAACTTTTACGAGAGCGTAACTGAGTACACAAGTTTTTCTTTTTCATGTATATATTTCTAACAACTCTTATCAAAGTTTATTTGATTTATTTCTTTAACTATATACACAAATTAATGCGTCGGTGGACTTGATGCGTAAGGCATTCCCTACACGAGTCCATCAATTGGGCAAAGCAGAGAAAGGTGAGATGATGATGAAAGATAAAAACTTGAGGCAAACCAGTTCTGGCAAGATTAAAAATTCTTGAACGACAAAGTAAAAATTCTTATCGGCAGCGGCGGCCGAGCGGTCGGCGACACTGGAGGGGTAAAAATAAATTGTATCCAACGTTAAAAATGAATAATGAATAATAATGTTTATGTAAAACAAACGAGCAAAATCGGGGCGCGCGAAATCAATAATAATATTATGTTGTTTCATCGAATCACCTTAAAATATCTTTTTTCGTATTCATGTTACACGTAGTACACATTTTTTTCCTGTGCGGAACTCCCCTCGGATACCACCCATCAGTGGGGTGATTATGTCGGACTCGAATCGACCAAAAACCGCATGACGTCTCCAGGTGCCAGTAGCCGGGGAACCAGGTATTCCCTAGAAAGGAGAGCCCCGGTACCCCGACGTACCTCGGGCCATCTACGGCTTATAGATGACCCCCTCCTGTGTGGGAACCCCGATGTTCCCTTCCTGCCCCCAAAGGGCGTGCGCGCTCCGTAGAGCGTCGCGCCGCCGCGTTCTAAACATCTTCCGGTCTCACTCCGCCACCTCCTTCACAAGCAAAACTTGCTCGCAGAAGGAGACGCCGGAGTTCCACGCACTCTCGCTCCATGGTGGCAATCATGTTACCGAGCGAGAGAATTCCTACTCCGATGGCCGCCACAAGGCCACGCCTTTGCTCCATCCACGCCGGGCATTCTGCCAGCGTGTGGAGCGCTGTGGCCACGGTCCGGCTATCGCAGTGGTGACCCTCAGGCGTTGGCTCCTTGCAGATCTGACACAGATGATCTCCAGACAGATGATTACCTGGATCAGCCTTATGCCTCGGTATGAGAAGGTTTCGTGATGCCTCTCGAGCCAATTCTCCATTACGGTCTTGCCGCCTCGAAAACGGCGTGCCCGACACGTAGTACACTAGTGTTAACAAATATTTTATACTTATTACGTGATCCTTAAACTATTTTCATAAAGTCCAACTCATTTAGCACTAAGTAACACTATGTAAATTCGTCCTTTTGTGAATTCTCAACATACTCTTTTTTTAGTAAGTGCATGTGTCTGCCGCTCTAACGATGAATAGATTCACAGAGTACTCACAAATTGATAATACGTTTAGTGATGAATATCGTTCTCCTATCCACCTTAAGTGGCAAATGTCTAAAAATAACTACATACAGATATAAGAGTATATGTAACGAAAACCTATGAACAGATCCATTGGGCGAAAAAGATTTGAATACATACACGTTCTAGCAAACTGAAGTGTAAAGATTTATACTTGATAATGATTGTCAGAATCAGAATCAGAATCATTTATTTGTAAACATAGGTCAAATTACAATAGAGTGTGAGATGTTATGGATAGGTAAGTCCTCTATGTTTTGCAAAGGGACGTACAAATATACACATTTTACTTTTTCAAATATCATAAGTTTGTAGGATTATTTAAACTTCCACATTATTAATAACGTCAATGATAATAATTAATAATCACATGCATGTCAAAATAAATACAAAATACAGTCAATTTTAATAAATGTCAAACAAATTAATTTCATGTGAATTCAAAATCATTAGGATAGTCGAGGTACTGTACATTTTTCTGAAGCAGTAATTATAGAATTGTCGTCCAAATAGTCCTTTAGTGAGAAATAGCACTTACTTATCAAGATTTTTAATACTTCTCTTTTAAAATTGGCCAGAGTTTTAATTTTTTCAGGTAGTTTGTTGAATATTTTGGTGGCCATACAGAAGGTACTATTATTCATTAGCGCAGTTTTGCCATATGTCACTTGGAGTTCCGACTTATTTTTATCTCGTAGTTTTCTGTAGTAACTTTTAGTTGCTAGTTTGTATGATGAGATGTTGGATTTCACGAACATATTTGTTTCGTATATGTACAGAGATGGCAAGGTAAGAATTTTTAGACGTATGAAATACGGTCGACAACTGTCGGTGCTTTTTAGACCACACATAGCTCTGACACATCTTTTTTGGGCTTTGTTATAACTTAACTAAGTTTATTATAACTTCTTGTACTTATGATAGGAATTATATTTGTAAATAACGTTACTGAGCTGCAAATTGTTTATCCACTTGTTGTAAAGTATCACAAACGATAGACGGTGGAATATAGTAATTGAAGTTAATTAATCGCTTTTACCAACTTATTAAATCACTTAATGAATATTTAACAAATTATTAATACGGAGCTGATGTTGACACGATCCCGTTTTTTTTTGGCAATGCTTTTTGTTGCTATATTGTTTACTAGCTTTAGCTACTTGTAGATAATGTAGCTTTCCATTACTGAAAGAATACTTAAAATCGTTTTAGTGGTTTAGGCGTGAAAGCGTGACAAACAAACAAACCCCCTATGATTCCGGTGGGAGGGACTGAAAAGGCCGCAGCGCACTTGTGAGTCTAAGTTGTGTCCAAGGGCGGCGGTAGTCACTTATCATCATTTATACCATAAAATAAATATTATTAAATTTTGTATTTTACACTTTAAATGTAAATACACGATAGAGTATAATTAAATTTACGTAGTTCTGCTACGTAAGTTTTATGATAAAATCAGCTGTTGTGGATTTGGATAAAACCGTTTAGCCCATATTAAAAAAAATGACTACTGCTACTTAAAGAAGCTCAGAGTTCCACTTATCACTGAAGTGTACTTTCTCGTATACAAAAGTTACGAGTACGAGTTTAGAGTGAAAAATTAATATGATTTCAAAACATCAAACCTGCAGGTATTGTGTTGCCACAAATTTTGTCAGCCTTGCCCGCGTAGTATCTCAACACTGTGGCTGAATAATATACCTCTTCTTCAGCTATTTTTACTGGCTTTCCGCAGTCAAGTGTTTCAAGCTCTGCCAAATATCTTGCTTGAGATGCCATAAGGTCGGCTAATTTGAGCATAAGTAGACCGCGTTGAGATGCATCCATTTTACGCCATTCTGAGTAACGGTGGAATGCCTTCTTGGCTGCGGCAACAGCCAAATCAATGTCAGCCTAATGTGAAAATAAATATTATGTTCAAGGTCAAGTCTCGCTATAATAAGACCGAGTCTTTATTATTGGCGTACTGATTTAATTTGACAGTAATGTTAATGCGCTTTAAAAATCATTGGAAAGGCAAAAAAAACATGATTTAGCGTAATACTCGTAGTCTCTGTATTTTAAATAGGTAAAATTCGACAAACATTCTGAAAATTCTCGTTGCTGCGAATTGTGAAGAGTATTATATGCACTCATCATATCATTACTAGATGTAGCATGTATGAAACTGGTATATACATTAAGTTATCCACTTCGTTTTCTCGTAATCTAACTCATCAAATAATTCTCATTTTTTTTAGGTGTGCATAATATGTTTTTGGTTTTTTAATGGATAGTGGTTCCGTCCAAAGGAGAACCTAAACAAGATGTATATTGATACCTAAAGGAGAACCTAAACAAGATGTATATAATATTGATTCGGTTATAATTATGTCTTTTAAAATGTGAATCATCATCCTCCGAGCCTATTCTCAAGTTAGATTGGGGTGTGGCTACGACGCGGCTGAACTTCGTCTTTAACGCGTAGTGACTGCCATCGCAGTACTTGGGTTGTGGAGCAACCCAGATACTAGGCGATATCGAAGTTCTGTAGATATACGGTTGTCGGACAACTACCCGTAACGATTGCCACAGATGTTTGTCTGGCAACCGGGACTGACGGCTTAACGTGCTCTCTGAGGCACGGAGGGGTCTCATTGTATTAAGAATGGTCACCCATCCATGGACTGACTTGACTAGAATCAGTTAACTTTGCAATCTGCTAACTTACTCGGTTACTATATAGCCAGGAGTCCCTCAAATAAATATTGCTATAGATTACAACGATTTTTGAAAGCAATACAAAAGAAGTTTTAGCAAAATTATGAAGTCCGCAAATGAGGGTAAGAAAGAAACGCATAAATTGAGAAATCTTATACAACGCGGTAAGACAGAAGTTGTGAGTTTATGACAGGAAAAAAAGTACTGAAACCGGGCAGTACAAAATTAAGGCACAACTCTTCTGATGTTCACACAATATTCTAAATGACAAATGAAGATTCATGATAGTGAATAAGTCATTACAATTCGTAACAGTAACAGTAACCTTTTAAAGTATCATCATCATCAACAGCCTTTAACAGTCCACTGCTGGACATAGGCCTCTCCTTTGAAAATAGAGGTTTTGGCCTACTATACCACGCTGGCCAGACGGGTTGGTATAGGGTTTGTGTCAAGTTTTCCTTCTCAAAGTATCAGTTAATTTAAAAGTGTATCAAAAGCGATAATCACCTTATCACCTTCAGCCACCTGGGTAATAACAGTTTCGTCTTGAGGGTTGATGGTGGCAAAGGTCTTCTTGCTGACTGCGTCCACCCACTCATTATTGATGAATAACTACAAAAAATAAAAGTAAATAAAATGGTTTTCACCTATTATTTATTATGCGTGTGTCGCAGTTGGTGTCGTATAAAAATACAGTAGGAATTCTCATTTACCAAATCACACATAACAAGATTCACACTCCCATTTATTTGTTAATATAGGGTAAAATAAATTTAAAACGTTTGTATTTGTAATACAAAATTACCTATTAGGATTATAAAAATAATAAGGTAGTTCATCAATCAATAAATCTATTTCTAATATATTTTTTGTAACAAAGTAGGTACTCATAGAGGTTGACGTCACCCTCAGGCAAGTACCTACCTTATAACATTATTACAAAAGCCCTTATCGTTTAGTAAATAATTCGCTTTAAGAGTAGGATTACTAAAGGTAAACTGCGACTAATGCTTACTATTTTTTAAACTAAATGTTTTTGAATAATAAGGTTATATTTTCGATAGCCGATTTTTGTAAAAGATAGGTACATTACCTTTGTCATTATATATTCGTGTAAATTAAAGGAAGGAATATAATTAATATACAGGCTAGCGACAACCGAAAATACGATAGGTAGAAAACCTATATGATAGGTTATGACAACAATAACTTTTAGAAATTGCATAAATAAATCTCATAAGAAACATACGAGCAAGTTAAAAAAAATATTGACGATGAAAATTGATGTGTAGTGTATAAAATGAAATTACATGTTTAAGTATTTTGTTTTGCAATGAAACCATGTGCCGATGTCATGTGAAACACAAAATACAATATGTCATTAAATGAAATAGTGCAGAGAATTAATAATAAGTGTTTACAAAGAGTTCGAATAGGTATGTATGTACCTACATCTGATACATGTTTGCCGTGAACAATGCGCCAATCATCCTACGTCAATATAGCCTCCAACTCGGTTCATGATATAGTATTTTCACACAAAAACTACTTTGTAATTAGTTCCTTACCTTGGTATACTTAACGTCTACTTTCACCATTTTGCGAAATGAAAAATCTTTTTATTCATGTAAAACAATTCCCGAGAGTGCGCTCCAAACTGACTTTGAGCAGACTAAATTAATACTGAATGAATACTACAGATTCTTCATTGCGGGTTGCCAGTGGCAAGCTTAAAATCTCAAATATTCCCATATTGTATAAAAAATAACAATATCATGTATCTACAGAAAAAAGGTTAGTTTTGAGACGCTTTTATTAGCTTGGTATGCATGTATGAATGTAACGGAAACTTCGAACGTGATTTGACCTCCCTCAAATAGTCGAATAAAATTGAAAATTCGAAAACTTGTTAAGGACTGATGACAATACAATAATTTGATAAATTTGGCCGATTATCCTGATCAGGATCTTCAGGATTGATGGCTTTTTCCATACCAAAAAATACGGTAGCGTCTTTTACTACGTGGCAAGTGGCGTGTGCCGAAGCATGTGATTTACTTCCTTGTTACTTTTTAGTTTTAATAAGAAAATATTATGATAATGACTAAATAAAAAAAATAAATTAAAAACCCTAAAAAAACACGCTTTTGAAACTAGTCGAACTAAAATGTAGAAAATTGTTTTTTTTAGGGTGCCGTTTAAGATATTTTTAATACAATATTAACTTTAATACATTATTAACTTTAGCTTTGCCAATATCTGTCAATAAATTATTTATACAAAAATTGAAATCCAGCACGATAAAATGATTTTTTTGTTACGATAAAATGATTTTTCTTTTTGAACATACAGAAAAATATTTTCTACTTTTCAGTTCGAGTAGTTACAAAAGCGTGTTTTTAGTTTTTTTAAACTGTGATTTATTTATATATGCCCATCAAAAGCGGAACTGAGACTGCAATAGCTCCAATAGGCCTGGGTCGTGTTCTTGTGTGTCGAGCCTATGAATCAGCCAATCTCAGTCGAGCCAATGCTCAGACCACTATGACTGCGATATCAACTGGCTGTTCTATTATAATCTATAATAAATAAAACAAGATACAAGAGACTGATTCTCTGACTGATCGATCAATGTACAGCTGCGTCTAGAAAGTGTTTTTTTTACAAATGTTCCTTAGGTGACGTAAATATACACTAAGAAAGAGTTTTTAAAATACCACCTTTTAGGGTACAAAATGGGGGTTGGAAATTTATTTGAAACTTCGTTATTTTTGGTAGTAGCGTATCTTCTACGATGTCTGATGTCGACCACCACCACGCGGACGAAGTCGCTGGCACAAGCTAGTATGTATATAAACCTATTGAAGTTAACAACAAACTCGCAAATAATTAGCTAGGTATATCACTGGCTATATTTTCTACTAACTGTTAACAATGATTTTGTAGTCTGGCAATGTTGAACTCAGATTTTAAAGAATTTGAACGTGTACGTTTGGCTAGTAATTGAATTTGAGTCGTGAAAAGGAATATGTAAATCTTAACAAAAATAAAATTTTCATTGGAATTATAAACCGATTACGCCGGGCCCGTGGGGAAAGCGACATCGAAGGGCCCACGCGTACCCTTTGTTCCATAGGAGTGGTCCTAGAACAGACCGACACGGGGCGACTACACAAAGCACCATTTCGGTCCTCGTACATGACGGTACGCTCCTCTAAATAGTCTACCACTAACCGCCTCAGGTACTCTGGCACCCTGCGCTAGTGGAGTGCTTCCCTGATGCAGCTGAATGGCACACTATTGATGCGATGTCCAACGTCACCGCGAATAGGACGCCGCCACGGCTTACCGCCTCTTCGGTCACGGTCCTGAGGCGCAACACAGTCAGTCAGCCTGTAACCGAAGGCATGTCACATCTATTACCTACACGATCTTTAATTCCCGCATTCATTCATTATATCATGGAATGCGAATGTTTAAGGTTCTTATGTTTTCTTCTAAAGTTTAACCATAAATACAGATAAATTTGTAGTCTGGCAATGTCGGGATTTCAATGAACTTGAACTTGTGTCTTGATAATAAATTGTATTTGGACAGCGTAAAAGCGTTCGTGAATCTCCCAATCTCTTAATTGGAGTTATAAGATCCGTATTTTGGCTATTGAGAATTATTTAATGTGGTTTTTGTTTTTTTTTATAGTAGGTAACAGTTTGTTTATTTAATTATCTCAAATAGCTTTTGTAGAAGTATATATTATTATTTAATCAAGTAGGTACCTATAACCTAAACAGAACATTACTGTTTTAATAGGGTAAGTATACTAGTCGTAACAAGGAACTTATAATTTTCGCCATGTTTTTTCGTTCGTTCATACTCAGTTTTGTTTAGAGACTTTTACTACGAGATTGCTATAATTTTTAGCATTGTATTATAGACGACGATAATTAGTGGTAATTTATTTGTATTTACCTAAAGGTAGGGGCTTGATCACGCGTTAATCATATCACTTCCATAGGAACCTACTAGTAACGCCAATTAACTACTCCTGTTCTCAAAATACGAAAAAGTTTTGAAGAGTACTTCCTCTATTTACAAAGTACGGATTTTTCCCTCGATTTTTCGATCGATCGATCGATTGTGTGATCCACAAATTTTTGTTTAGGGCCTGGGTGTTCTGTGTCCATTTCACGTATGTTTGTAAAGTCCCTCGCGACACAGGATATATGTATATACCTAATGCGGGAGTTCTTAAAAAAAAACTAGACATGAATCTATACTGATGAATAATAGCTCTGAGGAGGGTTTGTAAAGTTTATTTTTACATACTGTAATCCTGTTATTTACTCTGTTCGCACTACGTGAAAATCCTACCCGTTAAAGATGTTTCTAAAGGAGACTATATAAAAAGAAAGAAAAAAAAGACTATTTAAGAATTTTAACATTATTTTCGTCGTAAGAAAAGACGACTCACAATGCCGCCATGCCATTAGGGGTCGCGGAGTTACTATGCTGAACACCCCATAAAAGAATCTTCACAAAAGAAACTTCTGTAGTCACACTTGGTTATGAAAAAGAAAAAAAACAAATATTTAACAGTATTTTGTATTTGACAGATGTACATACATGATGTTATAAGGTAAATATAAAAATAATAAGGTTATGAAACCCTCCTTAGCAAGAAATTTCTTCTGCTGTTTAGTTCCTTTTGTTTTTATAGTTGAGGTTTCTTGGGGAGGCTGATAGAGACAGTCTTGTTTTCCAAGTATTGCAGGATACCGTCTTCGCCACTGGAATTTGTGTAAAGAAAAAAAAAGTTATAAATATACTTCATTAGTTATTAACATTGACAGTCATTAAGTTTAGTGGCGTACTTTAAAATAATTTTGAAATAAAATTTGCTGTGTCTAAATTAATGTATGAGTAAGTTATGAAAAAATATCTTACAGTTCGCGTCCAATTCCAGACTCCTTGAATCCGCCAAAAGGTGTCTGCGGTGTCACATGTTCGTATGTGTTAACCCTGAAAGTAAATTATGCAGTATAAATATATTTTATATGAAATTTTATTCCTACATTTTACGAACACAGAGTTACTATGAATCAAAACATTATAATGTTAGCGGAAATGTATTTTTTTTTTATTGGCGATGTTTTTCGTTTATTGGTTCCTTCGAATCGCTTCTAAAAATACAAAATGATGGGGTTGCATATTGCTAGGTTTAATCACATTTTTCAATATTGGCTCCTACAACTGTCGCCTACAACTTTTGTTAAAGAAAGGGTTGATAAAAAGGGTCTTTATATAAAGAAGAATGCCCATTTCAGTATGAAAATCAGTTCCACACTTTTTTTTCTGTGTCAAATATGTATAAACTGCATTGTTAAGCCTGAATTAAGTATTATTTGAAATATTAACTCATATTGTAATAGAACTTTTGGTTATTAAGAAAATAAATGTGAAAATATTAACAACGAAAAATATTGCGACACTGACGTTAAAGTTATTTTTTAAAATGTTTGTGGCATCGTGTTTTTGACAGGGATACCATGTATAAATTAAGCCAAAACTATCACAATGAAGTATACATTCAGTAAATAAACTACAACTACATACACGAAATAATATTCCTAAGCCGCAATAATATTTTAATGTGACATTATGAATTATTATCACGCTTTTTACTTTATTTAACATTTTATTTTAAAACGATATTTATTTGCATTCAACCATTAATGGTTTATTTTATATAATGGCAACATTTAACTTAAAATGGAAACGGTAATTGATTCAAGTTTTGGTCCTTGTAAAATTTAATTTCAAACCTTAAGTTCTATAGAAGAGATTCAGGGCCGAAAAGTAACATTATAATCAATGAAAAAAAACATTTGAATCAATGACGAGTACGTCTAAAAGTTAAACCATGAATGCCCATCCACCGTTAAACAATTACTTCTAGAACCACTTTTCCTTTTTTAATATAGAGCGCTACTAGTATAATATTTAGTTTAAAAATATCTGAACTAAACTTTGATTAACTGTAATCTACTTATCTTCCACTGCTATGTTAATATCGTTCTCTATATCTCGTTTTATATTATATGTAAATAAGTATGTCGTAGCAATAAACTTAGATAATTTACTTAACGATAACAGATTTAAGAGTTGTTGACATATCATTTCAAAACAATGAATGTAGTTTTTATGTAATCGTGAACTATTTAATAAGACGATAAGATTCGGCTCTCAACAACAAAGTTTCTTGAGGTAATACCTACTCTCTTACTATATGAGTAAAATATAACAAAGAAAAAAAAAGTACCACATGGAGCCAGCGCGCACGTGCTTTACGAAGGCTAGCGCTGTGGTGATGTCATTTGTGATCACACCAGCTCCCAAACCGTAGTTAGAGTTGTTAGCGCGGTCTACTACTTCATCGAAGGTGTCGAATTTTAGGATGCTCTGGACTGGGCCGAAGATCTGGTGAAATATAAAATGAAAAGGTTTATTATGTGTTATACTTTACAGTTGATAGCTTTACAGTAGATGATAGCGGTCATCGTGCATTAAAATAGAACGATTTTCAAGGCGATTGCCTAGAAGTTCGAGATTATCAGAGATTTTCATGGTTAAGAATTGAAGCGATTGTCATTGGCAATTTTCCAAATTATCAAAGTGTTTAAGATTTTTGATATTTTACCTCCTCTTTGGCAATTTTCATATCATCTTTCACGTCGGCGAAGACGGTGGGCTGGATGAAGTACCCCTTGTTACCTTGACGTTCTCCACCAGCTACGCAACGAGCACCGCCTTTTTTACCAGCATCGATGTAGCTCATGACCTTGTTGAACATGTCTGAGTCAACCTGTTAAAATAACTTATTTATATTTCCCATTTTATCTACACAAGTGAAGAAAGAAAAAGTGTTAAAAAAATGCTTCAAATTAATATCTGCCATAAGTAACTAGCCGTTGTTTAAAAAGGAGGGTGGGGGGGGGGGGGGTACTTTTGTTTAAAGGTTGGACGACGACGTTAAGACAATATATTAACTTATACTGCGTGTTAAAGAAAGGTGGAAGAAATACATACACATACAAACATTCACGTCTTTATCGCCGGAGAGGTAGACAGAAGCGTATATATTTCTAAATAAATATACTTCGCATTTTTCATTGTGCCCAGAGTAGCCCACGCGTTACGTTAGTTCGATACTCACGCATCGCATCGCGTCTCTGTTTACTCATCTACCACACTATGTAAACACGTAATGAAAAATATTACTGAACTAAAATGAAGGCTAAAACATGTATCGTATTTGGTTCTTTAAATAGTAACTCATATTTTTCACACTTCCAAAGGAAATCTAAAGATAAGTATTCACACTTAGAAATGCAAGCCTACGTACAGGTAATTAGATAGCTACATACCCTAGCTTGATATTTTGATCCTAATTAATGTTACTTGTATTTATATGATTAATTTATGAATCCTAGTAAGGTACCCATAAGTAATGTTAACAAGGTCAGGTTGGCTTTGATAACAAGATCACTAGGATTGTCATAAACATTAATAGTTTGACAAAAATTGTTATATTACAATTCTCGTAATGTTTTATTAAAATTAAGTAGATAGACTAGAGAGGCAAGGAATTACAGATGGATTTCTCTGTCTGTAATTAAATAAATAATAAAATAATCTGAAGTTTGAGTCCTGTTAGCACATAACACACCATACATAAGACCAAGCTTCGGCTTAATTCTGTAGCTACTCCCACACACGAAGAAACAGAAACATATTACAGGGCCATCTAACGAAGACACTGAACCACGGAGTAACTACTGAATGATGCGATATGAAGAATTCTCTTGCCAATTAACATATTTACAACTTTCCAATATCATCCGTTGGGCCGCGGTCGCCAGGCATGATCACCTCAACTGGTTGGAGGATCCTCCCATATTCCCGGATCGGGCAGAATTTTATAGGGTTTTTCTGAGAGGAAAAATCCTTATATAGACAGCTACCTGCCGTTCAGTTAAGCCGTTTAGAATATTACCCGCAACAAACAGACAGACAGACAAAAAAGAACAGAGTTTTTAGGCATAGGCAAATAACCGTGTAAGCATGAAAAAAACCTATTATTTTGACATTACAAACACACATTCTAATTTTATTTATTTGCATAGATATATACAATTAAAGTTAAATAAAAGAGTCTAAGAAGGGAATAGATTAAAAAATATATCAACTATACATAGATATTAGATAGCTTGCGGCATAACTGAGAACCAAGATCGTGAAGTTTAGGTGTTCCTTCTTTACTATCTTATTTGCTTCGTATGTTAGACATAATGGACAGGACTTACGACACGGACAACAGTTCATTTGAAATTGAGTGATAAATACGTTGATATTTTACACTGGTATTTAAATATTCATCTTACTTATTCTTCTAAAAGACAACCCTAACATAACCATCAGCAGCAGAAAGATAAGAGTAATTTATTACAGAGAAAGGTAATTTTAAGTGAAAATAGGTGAAAATAAATTAGTGCTGTGCGATCTAGACAGCACTCTAAGTGTCGAAACATGGGTTGTCAATTATTTAATCGTTATGCTTTTGTATCAGTACTATTATCTAATCTGTGTCTTTAGTAGGTACTGTTGCATAAAAGTGTAATACACAAAGTGACTTTATAATGGGTACGATTAAATCAATCACCTAATAAAAGTATATAAAAATATTTGTAATAGTTGTTCTTAAGATAGTACATCTGTCATCTAAATTGAATCACCAAATAAGTCGAATTCCGAACCGACCACGCAGGTTGTCCAACTGGTTGGTCAGTCAGGAATATTTATTCCTAACCACCCAACTTCTGCATCTGGTTGCTTAGACTGGCCTGTTGCCAGATGCCAGAGGTCGTGGGTTCAATTCCCACCCAGAACAAATAATTGTGTGATGAGCACGGTCATTTGTTTTGTGTCTGGGTGTACTTTATCTATAATGAGTATGTATTTAGAAATATATAAGTATGATTATTTGGATATTTATATTTTTTGGATAATCTAGATTCATTCTGCTACTAAAATTTCCGTTTAGAAGTAATTCACAATTTTAAGCAATGTTAATAAATGTTGGTATTTTTTACAATTACAAAGCTAATACAATGCGTCACCACACGGATTAAAAATACGGAGTGTTACTATGCCGATTCATAGATAGGCTTCGAATTATCCCGATTCGAATAAGAGAAGGAAAGCTTGACACAAATTCTGTACCAAATCGTATGGCAAGCGTGGTATAGTAGACAAAAACTAAGGAGAGACCTATGTCCAGTAGTGGACTATTAAAGGCTGTTGATGATGATCATTCTTTTACTGATTGGCTTATTGGCGCTACTTGTAACAAGATTTTTACCTGAGGTCCTTGAATCACATCTTCGTAGGGGTTTCCGACAGTCCTCTTTTTAGCAATCTCAGTAGCTTTGGCGACGAACTTGTCATAGATGCCAGATTGTACGTAGGTCCTTGTAGCGGCAACACAGCACTGCCCAGCGTTGGCAAAAGCGGCGTTGTGAGCGATTTGTGCTGCCTTATCAACTGTTGACAAGCATTAAATGATGCGATTTGTATTTTGGTACTGGAATGTACATATTTTGCACACGAAAAGTAATAAGTTTTTTCGATATTTTTTTTCCAATTTCTCACGTAGTAATTTTTCGTTGTCTAAAAATTATTTCGTACTAATATGAAGATTTCCTAACTATATTTCATCAAATTGACATAGCCATTTTCAAGTGGTATCTCTTGATGGTATCAAGAACGGACCATAACATCTTTCTCTTGATATAATAAAATAAAATATGATCCTACCAATTCACCAGAAAATAAAAAAATGTCATCAACCTTAAGAAATTCCATACGTGGGTCACACTCAAAGTTTTTAGAATATGCCAGTAAGAAAAGCAGCCGATGAAAAAAATATTTAAATTTCGAATTAGGAACTCTTTGAGAATCTGTAGATGTTTAATAATTTCCTAAGTCATTTGTTTTTATAAATTGGCGTTTATTTAAAAAGTGAAGACACTTTTTAAAAAAACTACACTGTATATAAGGGTGTTATAATTTGACGGAAGATCAAAAACGCCTTCGTTTGGATCGTTGCCGCTCAATGCTTGAAAAGTATGACTTCGGTGACTCGAATGCTGCACATGACATCGTCGCAGGTCATAAAAGCTGGATATATTGTTACGAGCCCGAAACCAAAAAACAATTTTTGCAACCGATATTTCCATTCGAAGATTTGCCGACAAAAGTAAAGAAGGGCAAAAGTCAAGGGAACGAGACGATTGCTTCATTCTTTGGACGGACGGGTCATTTCGCAATAATCATTCTAGAAGATGAAAGGACTGTTACTGCAGATTTGTATATCAGTCATTGTGTACCAGTTGTCTAGGAAAATGTTGGACAGCAGCACTCAAGAAGCACAACCCTCCTTCAATAAGACAACGCTCCGCCAGAGGGACTATCGAATATTTGTCTCTCTAAGGTGTGGAACTAGTGAGTTATCCTCCTTACAGTCCCGACCTTAGTCCCGACCGGCAGCTTGGGACTTATTTTTTCCAAAAATAAAAGATAAACTTAGAGGAATTTGTTTTATGAACCCTGACGATGCCGTAGCTGCGTTTGAAAAAGGCGTGAAAGGGATCCATAAAGAAGAGTGGGCTCACTGCTTAGGTTAATGGTTCCATCGCATGCGTTGGTGCCTAAGAAAGAAAGGAGACTACTTACAAAAGCAATGAAAATATTAACAGGCTTCTATATTATTCCGTTTATCATCATCAATCGTATCATCATATAATAATGTGACCCCGTAATTTAACTTTTTTGGTTGAGTTTCATTATTTTACTAATTCTCACATGTTTTTTTTATTATTATATCAAGTCAATGCTGCGAGGTCCATCTATTTTTGTAATATTTTAAATTTGAAGAATCTACTCGCATTTCGATGTCCTTGTCACGGCATTTATCATCAGCCCGTCGCAGTCCACTGCTGGACATAGGCCTCTCTCATTGCACGCCATTTAGTAATACATTACTTTATTTGTATTCTGGAGTCGTAAACTGGTAAAACTTAGGAACATAAGCAGAATAATAAGTACCTTCTATTTGCATACGTACAACTTCTGTGAATGAAAAAAAAATGAACTTCAAAAGACACAAGGAGAATGAAAATGCTTTGTTTATAAGTAACAGACATTAACATTCTTGACTTTATCGTGTCAACGGCTACACTTTAAATGGTTTTGGCCCAGTAATGTATGGTCTGAAATCGATGATAAATCTTAATTATGTTTCAATCATATAAATCTCGAAGATCAAATTATTCTATAATCATGTGTAAGTTTCAAAACAATCAGAAGTAAAAATATATTATTATTGACTAATTTTTAGTCTTTCGTTAAAGGTACTTACTTACCTCCTTAAGAATTTTAGACAAGCCATCAGAGATACTACACAAGTCTACCACTCCAAGTACTCTTCACCAATAATATAACGTGTAGGCGACAGTCAATTGGCGTGATTGGACACACAACAACATTTGTATGGGTACTCACTATGAGTTGTTTCGATTTTAGTTACAGTATAATATATGAATACGTATGTATAATGTTTGTCATTGATTAAAATTTTCACAGTAATCAGGTAACAACCTATGTCTGCTCTAGAAGTTTCTTTCTAAAAGCTTACCTCTATATGTATTATTGTAAGTAATATTTACCGTCAGCATCATTGAAGATGACCAGAGCACTCTTGCCTCCGAGTTCCAATGTAACACGCTTTAGATTGACCGCAGATGCTGCACTCATAATAATTCTGCCCACCTGCGAATATATTTTTAGTTACTTAAATAGATTACTACACTACGTTATGTCGAAAGTTATTGTGTTGTCGTAGTCCATTAGAAAAAATGAAACGTATTACGAATGATCATTTTTCTTCAAACCGTTTTTTGGGCAGGCATAAATTAATATCCATATCTACAGTCTAATCAACTTGAAGACATACCAAATATAATCCTAATGCGTCTTTGATTTATTTAATTGACGTCAAATGTTTGACAGGGACAGGTGTTTTAATTTAGGTGTTTTTCGGGCACCCCATTATCGCGGCGGTAAGACCCGTTATGGAGGATTGGCTCTCATACCGGTTGACGCAAGTGATCACTGGGAAAGGATGTTTCGGGGATCACCTGTGTCTGATCCACAAGGAGCCAACGCCTGAGTGGTAGAATGCCCGGCGTTGGTGGCGCAGAGGCGTGACCTCATGGCGACCGTCGGGGTTTGAGTTCTCTCGCTTGGTAACATGATTGCGGCCATGGTGCGGAGCGAGAGCGCGTGGAACTTCACCGTCTCCTTCTGTGAGTAAGTTATGCTTGCGAACGGTAGAATGGTGGACGGAGGTCGTTCTGCGACGTAAGCATAGGCCTGAGGGTGGCGGCGAGACGCGCTGCGGAGCGATCGGGCCCTTACGGGAGCACCAAGGGAACACAGGTCATCTACCCACCGTAGATGGCCAGAGGTACGTCGGGCTACCAGGGATTTCCTTTCTAGGGTACACCTGGTACCCGAGACGGCGTGCGTTTTTTAGTCGGTTCGAGTCCGACATAACCACCTGTGGGTGTATCCGAGGGGATTGCCGCACAGAAAAAAAAGGTGTTTTATTTACTCTGTAGTTTGTATGGGAAAAGAAAAGTATTGTTTTTATCATTTTTTCTAGCAATTATTACGATATTCCTCCACAAAAACCTTCTTTGTAACTTAACGAAAATTTGAAAAAGATACTCAGCCGAATAGTTGAACCGTTCTGAGTTTTGCGCTCAGCAACACATTTCTCGATTTATTTTTATTTATTTAGATAAAACTTTTAATATTAGGAAATCTAGATTTAAGTTATTAGTTTGACCTGCAAGACTATCATTATCTTCATTATTAATTCGATGTTTACCCAACAGAATGCATCTTTTCTTTTTAAATTAGATTACAGTTTAAAGAAAAATAATTTGCAAGTCACAAGTACATTTCGCAATCTAGTACTGCAACTGCAACTACTTTCAGGTAATATAATAATAATTTAATTTAGATCTTTAACATAGCATCTTTATATGTTTCTACATACAATATTAAATTTCTCACACTTAAGATGCTCACGGATTTGTGGAAATGTGGAGCCAAATACGAATGTAGTTATTACTTTTGTGTGATACATACGGGGAATGACCTTAACCTTTGACAGCTGATTGCATAATTTTCTGGCAAAAATCGAATGATTTTCGAATCAGAACGATGGTCTGGATACATTATTTCAGTATTCGTTACGACGTCCCTTACCGGGTGTAATATATTTAAAAAAATGTGTTGAAAACAAACCTTTTTTCTCGGACGTACGGAATCCAAAATTAAGTATGTTATTATAAAACGTATAATTAAGAATTTAATTATGTTATTAATTAAGTAGGTATATAAAAAAATATAACATCGAATCGAGTGAATAAATTGTATATCATAATGTTAAAAATAAAATTCCATGACCAATCATCAAAACTTATATATGTCAAGTTGAGTTTTACTAAACGCAGTATTAGATATTTGATTTTTAAATATATTTAGAATTGCACTTCTAAGAAGATTCTAGTATCATACTAGAATCTCCTTAGAAGTGCAATTCTTTTTCAATGAGTTCTGGCAACAAAATATTTCTTACCTCCGTGGAACCAGTGAAGGCGACTTTGTCGACGTCAGGGTGGTGGGTTAACGCAGCTCCGGCGGTGGGTCCGTAACCAGGAACAATGTTGAGTACTCCGGCTGGGAATCCAGCTTCCTTAGCAAGAGCCGTCACGGCCAGGGCAGTGAGGGGAGTCTGTTCAGCAGGCTTGATGACGACAGTGCAACCTATGTGTATATAAAGGAAATACAATATAATTTGATTATTATTTATTATCATCAGCCTTTAGTAGACCACTGATGAATATAGGCCTCTCCATAGAATGGAGATCTTCGCCTACTATAACACGCTGTCTAGACGGGATTCAAGTTTCTCCTTCTCATTGCAGTGCTGTCCTCCTGCAGAGTTTTTTCCCATAGACGGATCTAAAGATACCCACGGGATGAATAGGGTGGTGACACTACGTATTTTTAGTCCGTCACCAAATGAATTATTATAGTTAGTGTATAACTTCTCATTTCCTTTCGAAATTGCCATTTTCTTGTTGTTATCATAACGAGGTTATAAGCCCTGTTTCGAAACATAATAACATAAAAAAAAAACAAAGAATCTCGAGGCGAAAAACTCTTATATAGAATACATTTAGCTTTCAATTATGATTTTCTTGTGATTTCTCTTACAATGTACAAAATATTCAGTAATTTATTGTAAAAAGCGTAAAAACCTAAAACTATTATTTTATTAGAGCGTTATTTTTGTTATATTTGGCACAAAATAAGAAGTTACAAAGTTTTTCGTCGACGCTGTTAAACTATCCTTGAATGATTGTACTAAAATAAACACTAGAACTACTGAAAGAAAGCAATACCTAAGTAGATAGACAAACTGACGGCCTGAATTTTTTCCTTAATACTTGTTCATTTAATTAATAAGAACGGTTTATAAGTAGTACTATTTCTCATACGTACCGGCAGCCAAAGAAGGAGCAATTTTCCAGATGAACATGGGGATGGGATAGTTCCATGGTAAAATACCACCACAAACTCCCACAGGCTCTTTTAGTGTGAAGGTCAACACCTCACCATCTGGAATATAACTTATTTTTCAATGTTTACCAAATAAGATGTACTACGATCTTATAACTAACTGATTTTGGAGTGTGTCTATAGATATGTTAATTAATGCTAATCGAAGTCAAATGTTTTCTACATATGGTATTTAGTGACGTGTCAAATTGACCTTGTACGGGAATATAGCAGATAAACAGCGTTAGGTACCGTTGCAATTTATGTGTAAGTACCTCTCTATTAAAATACTAATCATATATCTTATCTTATCACCCATATATATTCAACTGACAACTAAACATATGTTCTTGATAATAATTTATTTGTTCTCGAAACTTCATCTGCTAAAAAGCGTAATTTTGACAGTTCTGGAATCGTCGATTTGTAATAGAATTATCCCCCATCTCGTTACTTTCATGACAACTTATATACAATACTGACAGACTGACTGACTGATTTGACTTAACAGAAAAATACTCGTATGAGTTGTTCATGAGAAAAGTCGATTATTCAATTCATAAACTGCTTATGTTAGTTCTACGATTAATTTCACCTTGTGTCTAAAGTCTCTATAATAATTTGTTATTTCTGTACTACTCATGTAATATATAACTTCTTTAGTTAATTAGTATTTTGGTTAGTTTCAGTAAAAAAGCGTTCGTAAGTGGTTTTCATGTAATTCAAAGATGTATGGCTTAGGATATAGATAGATTGGGATGCTATCTAGAAACCATTCAACATTGTACTACAAATATGTGTGGTTTTAAGTGAGGTACCGTTTGATGTCTTAACTGCGATTTGAAAGAAGCATATACATTACCTGCAGGGATAGTGTTCCCTAGAATCTTGTCAGCTTTGCCAGCATAGTACCTGAGGATTCCAGCAGACCAAAGAACTTCTCCATGGGCTTGCTTTACGGGTTTGCCACAATCTAGGGTCTCTAACTCACTTAAATATTTTGCATCCCTTTCTAAAAGATCAGCCAACTTCAAAAGCAAACGCCCTCTTTGGGAGGCATCTAGAGTACGCCATTCGGAGTATCGGTGGAAGGCTTTTTTGGCAGCGGCTACCGCCAAGTCTATGTCAGCCTGTGGAAGATGAATCCATGTTTAAATTATGAAAGAGAATTTTAGATAGTACAATATTTGTTCAACTGTCTTCTGATATCGTAGCTACACCATTAATGTTTCGAAAATTGGTAACGGTGATAATATCAAGTTTTGCACACGTTGGAAAGTGTTTATGCTGGTTTCATGGTGAAGTTTGTAGCCGTGTGAATAACAAGGAAAATTACTAGTTTATTGTTTAACGTACCTTGTCGCCCTCAGCCACCTGTGTGATGATAGTCTCATCTTGAGGGTTGATAGTTGGGAAGGTCTTCTTGCTAACAGCGTCCACCCACTCATTGTTGATGAACAACTACATAAGGACAATTATAATATTAAAATTAAAAAATATATATATTTGCCAGTCACTTTAACAAGATCGGCATAGTTGGCGCTCCTTGAGGACGCCATCGTTTTGCAGTGGACGACGGCAGATAGATGAGAATTATGTTACGATCGTTTGTTCTGTGTCTGGGTGTGATTTATTTATATTAGGGATTTCCTTTCTAAGGTACACTGGTTCCCCGACTACAGGTACCTGAGACGGCGTGCGGTTTTAGTCGGTTCGAGTCCGACATTGCCACCGGTAAGTGGTATCCGAGGGGATTTCCGCACAGAACAAAAAAAAAGGGTGTGATTTATCTATAATATGTATGTATTTAGAAATATATAAGAATATTTATCAGCAGTCTGGTCACCATAGTACAGGCTCTGCCTAGTTTGGAATCAGACAGCCTTGTGTGAGATGTGTGAGGTTATTATATTATATGCTCTAGAATGTTTGTCGGATTATCGAAGGAGAACAGCAGATCCTGTAACCCCTTGCAACATATGATGGATGGTTACGAGATTTGTACCGTTTATAAAGCGAGTCATCCTAACTATTTTAACTATTAGTAGTTATTATATCTTTTCAGAACTTTGCTAAAAGTAAATAAATTCTTCTCAAAGAATTGTTACAACTGCAATGACTTAACGTTCATGTGTTGTTAACAAAACGCATTCCTACGATTTCTAAACTTGCTATTCATAAAATATTTAATAAATTAAATAAAAAATGATATGTTTATATTGAGATTAATGAATGATCTCACTGGTGTATTTAGCAGTTAAAAACAAACATTTCTTTATTACCAATGTTAACTGTACAGATTAGAATGATTATTTTAAATTAATTAATTTAAGGAAAGGTACTTTTATTCATATCGATTAGATTAATCGTAAACATTATTTAAAAAAGTAATTAAACTGATTTGACTGGGCAACATTTTATTGCACATATTGACGGATCAAGAAAATCGTGAACGCATGATTTTGAAAGTTATCTAGGTTAACTTGTTGACAACAATGATAACTCATTTGTGATACCCAGCTGTCATTGGTATCGACTTCTGTACAATATATTGCTTACTGCTGCTTCTATGCAAACTAAAAACTGAAATAACTTTTGAACGCAATGTTCTAAAAGTCTGGTAACTAAGCTATAATTGTAGATGATATTACCAGCAAAATGATATTACAAAAGTCCTATACATGGCTGACATTGTCCTTTCAGAACTGTGCCAAAACTAGTGGTTTTTTTTAAAGACAATTGCACTAAAAGGAATAAAACCTGTACCTATCGCGGGGGACATTACAAACAATTATTCAAATGGATATAAATAACATCAAGAATCAAAACAACAATTTGAAAACTAAGCTAAAGCAGTGGTACATGTAAAAAATATCGTAAGAAACATCTTACTAATCAACTTCTGGGCCAAAAATTACTAGGCAACAAACAGACTGCCCGAGACATGAGAATTATCGTAAACAAGTGACGTAGGTGCGCAAATCAGCCGTATTCAGAATAATACTACTTGTGAGTTACATAAACTATTTGAATGAAAAAATATTTAATTCGTTAGTTAAATTTAAGTTAAACGACAATTTGTGGATTACACTAAGTGTCGTCCCATGTGAGGAACGGACCCACCACACTCAGTAGTAAGCGGCGTGGCGACCGCTTAAACCACTACGCCATCCGTGCAGTCAAGTCAAGTCAGGCCGGTTTGTTGTAAGACCACTACCATAACAATGCCTCAAAGAAATTTTCTTCAAATGTTGTTTTTGTTTAAATTCTAACGCCGCGGTTGTTAAATTCGGTAACTTTTTAAGTAACAATACTTTTTCGTTTAGTAAAGAACACCTATTTCATTTTAAGCCACGATCAAGTGTTTCTGAAAAAACAAATTCAGTGCAGAATTTTTTGAACCTTTCGAATGGTAAGAACATTCTGAATTATTTTTCCTCTTACAACGTTCTCATGAGGATGAGGATAAAATACAATACGAATAACATTTAATTAATATTTTATAGCTATTTTATACTGTTATTGCATGCCTTAATCAAAATCGAAGTTTACATTCCTTGTTATTTTACCTGAACAAGATGCATGCTCATTAACCGTGAGTTTACACAGTCATCAGATTTTTGTAATGTGAATTCGATCGAGAATCACCCATTGTGGCTTTATAGCTGCCCAATGTATAACGTAGTTTCAATACTGTTGCATTGTAAGCCACAAGTACTTGATACGGAAGTCTGAAATTACATCACGTTATCGTCAACTACAAAACAGTATGTTGTACAATTGTAAATAAAATAGACCTGAAAATTTAAGAGTTAATACGGTTTCTTTATTGAATATTGGACTGGGTGTTCACCTTATGCGAGTTGTGACAGTTAGGGTCAATTTAGGTGAGTCACTCTAATATCTTCTAGTTCAGACTCTACTTTACTAGTGCTAATAAATAATTACTATTAAAGAAGTATCACCGACTTCAATGCACCTTCATCATTTCGAATTGTAATTATCTGTATTCTTCATTCGTAAACGGTTTAATAGTTTGAGGTGGTATTTTCTCTTTATATTGAGAACAAACAGAAAGTACACCCTACACAATTAAAAAAAAAAGGTTTTCCAAATCGGTTCATAAATGACGGCCTTCTGAGATAACGGGAATAAAAAAAATTTACAACTGAGAGCCTCTCGATCTCGTCCCTAATTGGCATAGTGTAGCGATTCGCCCCTACACATATTAGATATGCCAACGTCGAATTAAATTAAAACTTTGCACACTTATCAATGACCGATGACAATGCAAAAATTTATATAGTTAGTCCCATTATTCTGATCAGGATAGAAGTACGGTAGTGTCTTTGCGCGAGCGTGTGCTGAAGCATATGTGATTAACTTACTTCTTACTTTTAGTCTTAATAAGATAACAATCGTCATTAATAAATTAAAGTTTAAAAAAACAAAAATACATGTTTTCCTAGCCAGCCGATAAAATTAATTTCGTGAATTTTAATAATACACATTAATAATACGCTAGTTGACTCAATTTGAAAACTTGGTTAATTATATACTGTAATATCTATTTTATCTCAAAAAACCTATATTTTAAAGAAAAAGCAATATTTACATTACGTATTTTGTATTAAAAAAAACTATTTAAATTTCCCTTGAAAACGCTGTATAGTGTCGAATTTGCGAAATAAAACTGTTAACATCTGTGTCCAGTGTCAACTGTTTTCTAAAAATGAATAAGGAATAAGGAGTAACCTGCTGTGTTGTATGAAAACGTCAACAACAACAATGATGTCTTGCGTGGCGTGACGTAACACTTTCTGATTGGTGTCACGTGGCTTAATGCCTATTTTGTACGAATTTATTTTTAAAAAATATTAATAATGTTTAACTTTTATGAGAAATAGACTGGTTTTTTCTTATCTATGTCCCTTCATTTATAATTTGAAACTATAAACCAAAGCAATTTATTATTAGTGGACACTAGCCTATTCTTAGGTATTATTAAATCCGAAATAAAATATTTCGGCGTATTTGGGTGCTCCCAGTTTTAAAACTATTGAGATCTAGCACCATATCAATATCAAGATAATGTTATTAAAATAGCATTCTAATGTTACATTTAACTAGAATTAAAAAAATGATATTTGTGATACCTTTAAATACACATGTTTCGACTTACTTTTACTACTACTGAGTTTTTCAAAGCCAGCTAAAGATTATATCAAAAAGCTAATGCCCGATATTTGAACAACCTAACAATCGCCGATAAATTATATAGAACTAGCTGTACCCTGGCACGCTTGGCTGTGGCATATTATAGTTACATTGATGAAAAATAAGGAGCAAAACTGAAGTGAAAAAAAGATATAAACAATCTTTGAAGCGGGTCGTACATCGTGTAAAAATTTGAGGTAATCGTTACTGAACTCTTAATTTTTGAAGCGTAAACAAATTAACTTAACATTTTTATATAATATATATATGACATATTTGTTTGACTAAATACATTTTCGTTTAATTGATAAGAGAATGTAATTAAAATCACCCCTGGTATGTTTTTGTTGTGTAATTTTAGTAATTGTTTTACATACATTTGAAGTAGATAGGTAAAACGTTCAGCAGAAATTCATTTAGCTACACTCATTTCATTTCATTTGCAACCTAAATGATCAAATAGAGGTATCGTGAATAGAGAGTTGATAGCAGGTACAAATAAATATTTGCACAGGTGTCTTCGAAGGAAGGTTCTTTGTAACCTATCTTATAATATTCGAATATAATTCGTTATATTATTTTATCTACTATATATTACTAGTATTTCGATATAATATATATCTTAGAAGATTACGATGTTCGTATGTGACACTCAATCATGATAATCATGATGCACGATAGCGGTAACATTTGTGTGTGGGCCTAAATATAATTTGTTCGCTGACTATAATGTTGAAACATGTCGCCTTTTTTCAATATTATAATGTAATTACTTATGTATTTTATCTATCTATCAATAATTAAAGTGGTATGTAGATAGAAATAATATATTTAAAAAAAATAGTAAAGACTTACCTTAGTATATTTGATGTCTACTTTAACCATTGTGAAGCCGCTTTGTAGCACGTGTATCCCCGTCTGTGGCTAAGCAAAAGTGAGATCTGTCACCGCGGCGTGCCGGCATATACATATATACACATCAATAAACATTACGTCATACCGCGGTGTGATGTGATAATACTCGTATATGGATGATAACAATGACAAAATTTAAAAAAGTTTATTTATTATTGTTCATAGGTATTTATTTATTGAGCAATTATTACATAAGTGTTGCAATGGTATACCTAAGCATATCCTAATACAAATGGAAAAAAATAAGAAACGAGAAGACAAGAAGCGTAATTGATTACGTAATTGTGAACCTCAATGTAAGACGAATCAGCGGTGGTCTACTCAAGGATTGGATATACCGAGCTATAATGTCCTGCACATATTTTATTTTATGGAATAGGGGGCAAACGAGCAGACGGGTAACCTGATGGAAAGCGACTACCGCCGCCCATGAACGCTTGCAACTCAGGAGTCACAAGCGCGTTACCAGCCTTTGAGGAAGGAGTACGCTCTTTTTTTGAAGATTTGAAGGTCGTATCGGTCCGGAAATACCGCAGCCGATAACTTGTTCCACAGGTTGGTAGTGCGAGGCAAAAAGTGTCTTGAAAAGCGCACAGTGATGGAGCGTCAATTATCCAAGTGGTGGGGATGAAAACTCTCCATGATATATATATATATATATATATATATATACCCATATACTCACATAACCATTTCTTCTTGGAAGTAAAATGAACGTTGAATAGATGGTAGGTACGTATAACCATTTCGGTGCACCATATGCAACCGAGTTATTCATTAATCAATTCAACTTCAAAAACGTATGCTGCTTCTGGTAATGAAATTATTACAAACGAAAAAATGGTATTATGCGTGAATTATCCAATAACTAACAGTCAATGATATAAAATACAAACAACAGGAAGATACGCCAGCAATGCACAAAACCTGTGGGTCCTAATTAGGACCACTGCGAGCGAGCGCACGTACTAATTAATTTGAGAAAATTACGACAAAACGGTAAATAAAGACAAAGGAATTTCATACCGCAAGTAAGTGTATGTTTTGTTCTGAAATGCATTAATAGATGTACATATGTACGGTTACGGAACAAATATTTTGTGCGTGCAATATGAATATACTCGTAATGTATCTTCCTTAAAATATCATTGCCAACAGTGTATTTGCGTTCATAGAGTGAACTGTTCAGCTCTTCCAGAGTGAGGGTCGGGGGTCGGGCGAAGGGGTGTATTGATTAGTTCCGTCTGTCTGTCGAATGCGTGCAGACACCAAGTTACAGACGCTTCGTCATATAAATCCAACTATAAATCGCTTGTTAAATGGTAAATTTGAGTAAAAATCATATATTTTTTTACCTATTAACTTTTAGTTTACCTACCTACCTTAAAATGTTTGTTAGTTTTTTCAGAGAGGTCAAAAAAATTGCACGAGTATAGCTAGTAGGTACACCTGTCACAGACACCTGTATTTTAACATATTTTTATCAAAATAGTTTTTGAGTGGAACCTTTGTGTTAGAGAAACATAAAATCCTTGCCTAGTTGATTTATATGAAATTTCGGTATTATAATTTAGAAACATTGTCTGTTTTTTGGCAATCTGCCAAGAGTCCATGTACTCGTAGTACAGTGACCACTAAGGTATCATTTCTGATTGGTCCCATCGAAAGTAGCAATTTTCGGTAAATTATTAACTGAATTAAATACTAAAACGTTAAGCTGTTTGTAATCTCAAATATTGATATGATAGTCCTCTAAAACTCAAAGTTATTGTTACTGTAAAGTAATAATCTTGATAAAAATTATGATCTTGATAATGTGGTGCTTGAAAATAACACTTGAATCAATGTAAGAAGTTTTGCAATGCAACAGCAAACCTATTTTAACTTACTAACCTAATGGTCTGGTATGAGATGATGGGAAGAGACCGCATGGTATGCCATTTCTGCTATGGAAGAAGCCTTTGGGTAAGCCTTTGGTGTGGATGGTTGCATCCACACCCCCTATCCACATCCCAGGGTGCCAGGGATGCAAAGGGTGTTGCGCAAGTTGTTGGGCAACACCCTTGGCATCACCGGCACCCTGCGCAGAAACTTCAAACGGCGAAAATACCAAAACTTAGTAGGTAATTACATTTTTTAAACCGTTCTGGGTCGAGACGCTAGGGTCATGGGGTCCGAGTGCTCCTGTTATGCTTGAACAACTAGTTAAGAAACTTCTTCGACCTTTTTCTAGCACAGAGAATTAGCATTGCATTTCAATGTAGAAATGTTGCCAATCTTCTGGGAACGCTACCAGTAGGCAATGATGTGGAGATTTTTTTTTTGATGATTGTATATTTAACTTTATGTGTAAATTATTTCCAATGGCAGTATGAAAGTGATAAACGCTTTTTCTTGCAACGATTTTTCAGTAAGCCAAAAGTTACTTGGAATTTTCCTAACACAAAAATTTGTCGGTAATCTAAAGGATTTAGCGGCCCAACAACTTAATAAACATGTTTCGATAACCTACAATTACATAAAATTAAATTGCATCTATGTAGAGGATGTAAGGGACGTCGTAATGAATACTGGAGTAGTGTATTCAGATCATTATACTCGACTCAAAAATCCTTAGAAGTTTTGTTAGAAAATTCATCAATTTTTTTAAATAACTAACCATTTTTTAGGGTTCAAAAGGCCTCAAAAGATAAATTTTAGTACTTAGAAATTTAGTACTTAGAACGGAACTCTCAGCGCACGAGTTCGACTCGTACCTGACCGGTGTTTTTTTTGGCCTACGGGGAATGACCTTAACGTTTGACAGCTGGTTGCATAAAACGTTTGATTTTCCGACAAAAAAAAAAAAATGATTTTTAATTCAGAATGATGGTCTGCATACACTATTCCAGTATTGTGAGTAGACTGTTTGCAAAGAATACAAATGTAGTTATTACTTTTGTGCGATACCTACGGGGAATGACCTTCATAAAACGTTTAATTTTCCGACAGAAAAATCATTCCAATGATTTTTAATTCAGAATGATGGTCTGAATACACTATTCCAGTTTTCGTTATGATGTCCCTTACCTCCCTTTTTTTTCTTTTATTATTGTGTTCGTGTCGTTGACACTTTGTTTTATAATTTTCATTACCAAAATAGTATTTAATTTAACAAACTGAGCCGAAGTAGATGATTGATGATAGCAAAATTAAAAATGTAATCTTTGTGCAACATTAAAAAAATCTGTGACAGTTTAGTTGCAGATGAATTAAAATATGTACGTTCTGTTAGATATCTAAAAAGGTATAATAGTCTAGGATATCATCAGAATTCACATAATAAAACTTAGATGAAAGACCGGGAGTATTAGGAATTACGGTACGACTCTATCGAGTAAAAAAACTTGGCTTGGACTGGTTCCTGTTCTTTTTGTGACTAACTAATGCTAACTGGACTATGATTTATGACAACCTATGCAAACGACAAGAATTAATAATGGTTGATATTCGACAACCAAGCAAACTTAAATATAAAATAAAAAGCTTTTTACTTAATCGTGAGTGGTTAAAAATATTACTAGCTCACACACGTTATTCTATTCTCGTCGTATAATGAAGTGATAGACACGTACGACTACAAAACGGCGGGAGACTTTTGAACCCTAAAATAAAACTTGGCTTGCCAATACCAATACCACTTGTAATTACTTTTATTTCTTGTGACAAAGGAAAAGATAAGAAAACCTCCGCGTTTCTCCCTGTTTTACTCAAATCGTACTAGAAATATTTTCGTTATCAATACCATTTTTTGCGAGGGACTTCCTTTCTAGGGTATATCCTGTTCCCCGGCTATTAGTACCCGAGACGGCGTGCGGTTTTAGTCGGTTTGTGTCTGACATGCCACCGATAGGTGGTATCCGAGGGGATTTCCGCACGGAAAAAAAAGGGGACATCTTCACAACGTACACATTCTCGGACTCCCATACAAAAACAATTGGCTGCCACTACAAAACACACATAACAATTAAAACAGCACATTAACAATTTCACACACATATACATATTCTGTATAATAACAGTGTAAAGAAGTTACGCACTACAATGATCTGGCTGGTCTGGCTGGCACAACCGTGGCTGTAACAACTATCGATACGCAATATCGATAAATTCGAGAAGTCGGTTAGGGAAATATGATATTAATATCCACCCTTGTAGGTGGATATTAATAAAGTTAGGACTTTATTTATTACTACAACAATCATCATTAATATTACCACTTTTATTTTAATATTAAACTAAATTAAAATAAAGCTCACAATCCACATAATTATATCAATTATATCAGAAAACAAAAATCAAAAATGATAATATGCGCGAAAGACATGGATGTATTTGTTTTATCGAAATCTAACTATTTACTAACCGGTAACAACACTATCGTCCGGTGATAGCGATTAGCAACACGACACTCGGATCGATCGCTCGACAAATCCGAATATTGTATGAGAGCGGGCGGGGTGTGTTGGTAAACAAATCCAATACAAATGTTATTTTCGTAAATTTTAAGTTTAAAAATGAGTAAATAGCAATAATTCAATTATAAATTATTAACATATGAAAGGTAACGCCATCTTTTTGTAAACTTGACTTGACAGATCTCTCTTGAAACAAAAAACTGAACGATTCGGCATTTTTGTAGGGCGGCGACTGTCGTCTACTCGGCAGTGCAACTAGATTTAGTTTATTGAGCGGTCCGGCCGTAACTAGTTTTATTGTACGCATATGACCGTGTGGACTTATACGACTTTTGCCGGGATTGATTGAAGAACTTAATTAGTATTTTAAGAGTTCATCATCTTCTTGCCCTTTTCTTAAATTTATTTTAAGTAACTAAATTAAATTAATTCTGCTGACCTGTCTCTACTGATATTTGTGTTCATATACACCCAAACCTGTCAACAAGACCGTGATTAAGTAGTTTATTTTACAATCGACACAAAAATACGTTTTCATGACAATCTGAATTATAATAATAGTAAAATCTTGTTCCAATGTCTATGCGATGATACTTGGCTTCATCACCAGACCTTAGTTATGGTAATGCTTAGTCAGGGTTCACCACACATTTGGTTAACTCAAGAAATGTAGGTACTACAGAAGAGTTTCACTTTCCAATGATTTAGTATAATATAATATTAATAAAATATAGTATTGCCATCCGAAATACATCCATATGAATAATCTATAAAAAATCAATTATACGTCGTCCTAGGTTGGTATTCGGCACTTACGAATATGGCTAGTAAGTCCGATTCGAGAACGGTCACAGTGTAGACGGAGGTGTTGTTGACCAGGGCCCCAATTCTGCTATTTCAATATTGTATCAACTGTCATAGAAATATTTTTGCACCTTTCGTATTCTACTTACTATGTAAGACCAATGGCCTCCCGAAGACTTGTCACTAAACTGCGCAACCGTAACCACTGACTGCTCCTGATCAAAATACAACAAAGTTTCATCCAACACGAATTATCGAAGTAGTTTAAAATTTACTTTCAACATTACTTTGTTTACATAACTAGCTAGTTAGTTACTTAAATATATAGGTAGTTAGTTACTTAGTTGTGGTTTATTACAAAAAAAAGTATTGCTAATAAGGACTTTTACCATATGAATATTGAACTTTAGACCCCAGTGCGGCTGATAAACTAATAATAGCGTAGTTTAATATTCCTACACATTATTCTTTCACAATACACAAACTCATTATTTAGATAAAAATATCAAGTAACTGCAGTTTACTATTGTTATAACTGTCAAGTTCAATTGAATGAAATACAGATAACATGACCTAAGATCAGCTAAGAGCTATTATCATTAGGAGGTTCATATTTAATTTAATTTTTTTTTTCTAAATGTAATTTACATTAAATATGAACCTATAAATGTACTTTTAATTCCTGATATATTTATATTGGTTTAGTAATTTATTCATTATGGAAATAAAGTATAAAAATAATATTTAATAATATATAAAAATAGTAAGTTAGTAGTAGTAGTAAGTGACAATGAAGTGATTAATTTATTTAAGGGTTAAGTAACTATAACTTAAAATTCAAAAATAAAAAGTTTCCATTTATTAAATATGCATAAATATTCGATCTTAATGAGTGAGACACGATAAACATGTTTTTAGTTCTTTTCGTTTAAATTGTATTCTATTTATTATCATCATCAATCTTTAGAAAGGAGGTAATTGTATTCTATTAAAACAGATATATTACTTCGGAGAATTTGTAAAAGAAAACTTTGTAAGGTGAACCTGTTGGAAAATAACTTTTACTTACATTCAGTTTTAAAATCATTTCTGACTTTTCAATCTAGTTTAGACTCTAAAAAGACGACAAGTGTAACCCAAAATATTTACTTTTAATCCTTTTTAGACTAAAAATCCTACTTACCTTAATATAACAAATCGGGTATAGTCAATTACTTAGCCATAACAAACAATTATGAGTAATAAATAGTTCTATTTATGTTTTTGTAGGTTTAGATCCAGGGAGGCCTTTAGTTAATGCATACGGATCGAAATTATTTCGCTTGGGCCGAGAGGACGCTCACGTTGTACAAGTAGTTCATACAAATGCTGGTTACCTTGGTGTTGAAGGTCTGGTGGGCCACGCCGACTTCTGTGTAAATGGAGGAAGAACACAACCGGGTTGTAAAGGACATTTAATGCGTAAGTACCATAAATTCTTGATAATACTTATGATGATAGTCTAACCTTGTGGTGACGGATTAACAATACTGAGTGTCACCATCCCAATTCATCCCGTGGGTATCGTAAGAGCCGACTAAGGGAGCAAACTACGCAGGACAACAGCACTGCAAAGAGAAGGAAAACTTGACACAAACCCTATACCAACCCGTCTGGCCAGCGTGGTATAGTAGATCAAAACCTCCTTTCTAGGGAGAGGCCTATGTCCAGCAGTGGACTATTAAAGGTTGTTGATGATGATGATGATGATGGTCTATAACTAAATATGAGAAAATAAATATGAGTTTTTCTAATTACGTGTAAATGTTACTAGACTGACATGTAAGCAGCAATCTGACGTTTGTGTCATTTTTATCCCTGAATTGTTCTCTTAAAATTAAATATTATCTGTTTTGATATTTTATATTTCCTATATCTATATTTTTCAGTGTACAACTTCGGATATTCATGGAACATGACCAGTTGGTCGTGGTTGCTATATTGTATTGTTACATTAGGTGAATGCAATTACATGAGAACTGTTTGTCTTTTTTCCATAAGCTTCTTTTTTATTCTGAATGTATACTTATTTATTTTGAAGCAAATAATGGAAGAAATCTTAATAATTATCTTAATAATTAAATTGTTCGTAACTTTAGTTGTCACATTTTATAAAAAATTAAAAAATCAAAACATTTCAAACCGTCAGATTTGAAATACCCTGGAAAATTATCGTAAGATTTAACACGCTCGGGAATTTCGAAATGGCGATTTTTCGAATTTGCAGTTTGTATTTGCGATAATTCGCAACCAGCTTGTGTCACTTTAAAATCGTCAGACTTTTCACTGTGAGCATTTTTTGGCATCCAAATAATATATCCTCAAAATAACTGATGCGCCCGAATAAAATTTTTCGATTTCCTCCACTTACATTTCTGAAAACCTGTAGAAGCTTTTCCCACCACTGAAAGTGGAAACATTATACAACTTTTATTCATTCTATTATCTAATCTTTCAAATGCAATAGGTCCCCATGACGCTCGAGTAAATCCCCATTTAGCATCATGGGCTCCCCTACTATAACGTTGATGCTTGTGTTCTGATTCCAAACTATACTGCATCATTTGATTGATTGATAATAATGATAATATTAACGGACATCTAACACACAACGCCATCTAGTAAGTAAATCTCGTACAATGTAAACTAGATTGCCTGATAGAATACTTACATACATTTTTTTTATTGATATACCAGAATCTGGGTGATCTTAAAAAAATAACCAGGAAGGTTAATTTATCCATATCGGGGCGGGCAATAGATCATTTAGATTTATTCCGTTCTATACACGAGAAGTCCCGTATGCGCTGTATATCTTGGAAAAACCAGTTAAGTAGGTTACTACGAACTCTACTGACTTTAGAAAGACTTTAGAAAAAAAAAACAATTATCACAGTTTCACATCCTTTTGGTCTTGTACAGAAGGAAAAGACGCTTTCCTTCCCTATTCATAGAAAATACAATTTTTTGTTCGTAGTTTATTCTTATATTTTGACTAACCGTTTTCGTTTGTGGTCACTCCTCCGCTCCTAAAAATCGTAGCATGATGTTCTATTAGACCAGGGCCAATCATGTTTAAAAGCAATAAAATTCTTAGCAGTATAGAAATGGTTCCATTCGAAAGGGAAAGGGAAAGGTTTTTTCCATTAGAAAGGGAAACCATTCGTTTACTGCTAAGAATTTATCGTCTATTACGGTATTCATTACGGTTTGGGCCTGGTCTCTATATAGCCCATGTATTTCTCAATAACAATATTAAATACAAAAAGAATAATTTAAATCCGTAAGATTTTGACACTAAAGAAAGATGGCTGTAGCTGCTTACTATGCCTACTACCATAAAAGAACGCCATCAGTGTTTTACAACGACGTCCATGAATAATTAGTTGGCCAGTTGACGCCCCAGGCTTAGGTACTGGCCTCTCCAATGCTGTCCGACCTCTGCCGGACATACGTGTATGTGCATCGATACGAAGAGTAATACATATGGCTCAATTTTCTCTCAGACACTGACTTGTATTACTTATGGCTCCCTCTCCTCCACTTATTCGTTTAAGATACCTCCATTTAGATTCTTCCTTCGTCCCGCCAAAAAAAATCAATAACATTACTAAGGGGAGTTCTCGCCAGGTGGGTGCCCAAACCTAAAATGAATAAACGAAAACTCTTTGCGATATTACACATTGTCCAGAAAAAACTTGGGTAAAGGAACATGAAGATGGATCACTCCTTTTTAGTACATATTTTATTTTACAGGTATTGCACGATGTAGTCACTTCATGAGTTCTTGTTACTTCGCTGCGAGCGTAATGAAAAGCAAACGTCTAGTGGGGGTGCCATGTGATACTACTTGTCCTAAGGAGAAAGGCCATTGGGGTGTAAAGTTTGATAGAAAACCAGTTGTTCTAGGTGACGAGATGCCAGAGGGGTTTGTTTTTTTTCTTTCTTTTATTATAATTATTAAAGTTTATATCTTTGAAATGGGAGAAGATAAAGGTGTCGTTAATTGTATTCATGAGTTCGTACCCATGTTATTATATTTTGTATCTGGGCAGCAAATTCGATTTACAACCCTTCCATAATTTTCTGTAATGAAGTATCAAACTAATTTATCAAGGTTAATTAACACCACCAAATGTTATTTTATGTGAAGTATAAATTCAGTTTGACGAGTGTACAAACTCTTTCTTTAACTGTACAAACCATGAAAATCAATTATGAAAAATTATCATTTATATCAGCCTGTCTTTTGGAACAAAGTTCCTTATCGCGCGTTACACACTCTGAGCGGATGGGAGCGAGACCGACAAATGTGTAACACGAAGTCTTTCCGACACTTATTTTTCCCGGCCCATAGACACCACACGCCGTTTTTTTTTATGGCACTAGGAATATATCCTGTGTCGCGGGGAACTTTACATACAAACATGAAACGGACATATAGCACACCCAGACTCAGAACAACACTGTGGACCATAATAAGTATCGCCCCATGTGGGGATCGTGCCCATAACACTCCGCTGACCGTTTAAACCACTACGCCGGTCATGTATATGAAGTTTTAATGTATAAAAAATTAACAAACTAGTGCTTAATTATTATTTTCAAACGAGCCATCCAATTACAGGATAGAAATAAATAAATTGAGAGATAATAATTGTCTGCACGGATGGCGTAGTAGTTACTGCGGGAGTTGTCTTTAAAAAAAGGAAAATCATCATCATCATCATCAACAGCCTTTAACAGTCCACTGCTGGACATAGGCCTCTCCTTAGAAAGGAGGTTTTGGCCTACTATACCACGCTGGCCAGACGGGTTGGTATAGGGTTTGTGTCAAGTTCTTCCTGCAGGAAGTGGTCGAGGGCCTATTCCCGCAGCGGGCGGAGCACACACCCCCGTCGATGGCTGCATCAGCCGGAGACGACGGGGGCAGCGAGGCTGATGTTCCGCCCGTCAGGGAATCGGAGTTGGGGGCGGCTGTTCTACGGATTAGATCCAAGAACACTGCCCCCGGGCCGGACGGGGTTCCAGCCCGAGTGATGGCCCGAGCCCTCGACTACATGTCGGACCACCTCAGGGGGGTGTTGGACGCTAGCCTGGCGTCCGGACGCTTCCCTGAGCGCTGGAAATGCGGGAAGCTGGTCCTGCTGCAGAAGCCGGGACGGCCTGCCGAATCGGTCGCGGCCTATAGGCCTATCGTGTTGCTGGACGAGGCGGGCAAACTTTTTGAGAGGGTGCTCTCTGCCCGCATCGTCCGGCACCTTTGCGAGGTTGGCCCCGATCTGTCGGACGCCCAATTCGGTTTCCGAGAGGGGCGTTCGACGATCGATGCCGTAATGCGCCTTAGGGCCGTGACCGAGGAGGCCGTGAGCTGCGGCGGAGTGGTGTTGGCGGTGTCCTTGGACATCGCCAACGCCTTCAATAGTCTGCCATTCAGCTGCATCAGGGAAGCGCTCCGCTACCACGGAGTGCCAGAGTACCTGAGGCGGCTAGTGGCAGACTATCTTGAGGAGCGAACCGTCATGTACGAGGACCGAGATGGCGTCTTGAGACGCAGGGCCATGTCGTGCGGTGTTCCGCAGGGGTCTGTCCTAGGACCTCTCCTGTGGAGCATCGGGTACGACTGGGCCCTTCGAGGGCGTCTCCCCCCCGGGCTGGGTGTAATCTGCTACGCGGATGACACCTTGCTCACGGCCCGGGGGGCTAACTTCCAGGAGGCGGCGCGCCTGGCCGCCACGGGAGTTTCCCTGGTGGTCGGGCGCATTGAGGCGTTGGGTTTGCGGGTGGCCCTGGATAAGACGGAGGCCCTATTATTTCATGGGCCCCGTCGTGGTCCACCCGCCGGCGCCTCAATCGAGGTCGGCTCGGTCCTCGTACCGGTCCGGGCCCAGATGAGGTACCTGGGTCTGGTCCTAGACGGTAGGTGGCTCTTCGACGAGCACTTCCGACAGCTTGGTCCGAAGCTGGTGGACACTGCCTCCGCCCTAGGGCGACTTTTGCCCAATTTGGGCGGGGCCAGAGTTCCCACGAGGCGGCTGTACGCGGGGGTTGTCCGGTCCATGGCGCTTTATGGTGCACCGGTGTGGGTGGCGGCTCTGACCGCCCCGAATAGGGCGCGCCTCTGGCGCCCCCAGAGGATATTGGCGGTCAGAGCCATACGCGGATACCGCACGGTGTCCACCGAGGCGGCTTGCGCCTTGGCCGGAACACCCCCGTGGGATTTGGAGGCGGAAGTGCTCGCCGAAGTTTATCGGCGAGTGGCTGAATTCCGGGCGGAGAGCGGATTTCGCCCTCCGCCCGAAGACGTGCGCGAGTGGCGCGAAGCCGCTCGCCGAGCCACCATGGTCAGATGGTCGTTCCGGCTGGAGACTCCACGCGCTGGCTTCGCCGCCGTGGAGGCTCTCCAGCCGGTCATCGCCGAGTGGGCAGGGCGGCAGCACGGGACCCTTTCCTTCCGGCTGACGCAGGTGCTTTCCGGGCACGGTTGCTTCGGAAAGTACCTGTACTCGGTCGCTAGGAGGGAATCGAGTCCCGCCTGCCACCACTGCGACTGCAGTGAGGATTCGGCCCAGCACACGCTGGCGGTTTGCCCCGCATGGGCGACGCAGCGCCGGGCCCTCACTGCAGTCATCGGAGCAGATCTCTCGCTACCGGCCGTAATTCGCTCCATGGCCGGTAGCGACAGTTGTTTTACCGCGGTCGCAACCTTCTGCGAGGAGGTAATCTCGCAGAAGGAGGCGGCGGAGAAGGCCCGGGAGGACGACCTCCACTCGGACCTGATCCGCCGCCGGCGAACCGGGCGGCGGAGGCGCGCTTACCTGCGCCTCATGCCGCCCTGAGTGTGGCCGCGGGTGGACGGGATGGGTTCTCCCCTCCACCCGCATTAGTTTGGCCAGCCGCGAGGGGGCGGCGTCCGCGTGTGCCGGACGTCGCCTAAAGAGAGGGTCCACTGAGACGGAGCCCGCATCAGGAGCGGGCCGGCGCTGGGAGGGGTCCAGAAGGAGATAGCTACCTGGACCCCTCCTAAACTGGAAGCGCAAAGAGGGCACACCGTGTGGTTTTAGTCGGTTCGAGTCCGACACACCGCCCCGCCGAACGAGAGCCCCGGCGGGGTGACGGTCCGAGGGGATTTCCACACGTAAAAAAAAAAAAAAAAAAAAGGGTTTGTGTCAAGTTTTCCTTCTCTCTGCAGTGCTGGTGTCCTGCGTATAAAAAAAGGAAAAACTATAATAAAATTGTTTTATGTACATAGATTTTTTAATGGTGTAGGGGCAAATGAGATGACAAAAACGCGCACGGTCGCCATCACGACAACACTGTTTTGCACTTTATACCACCTTAAAGCTACTGTAATTTGCTACACATTAGTGATTGTATCGAGATTGGCCGACCTTTCGTCGTTAGTGAGTATCAGGCAAAAACTTTTTTGAAGTAATCTCATATCGGCTTGGTAACCGACCTAGACAACCCGCCGCTACCGAGCGGCGCACGCACACATCGACGATTCGCACCTTGTAACAGTCGCAGCGCTAGCGCTTTGTCGCTGTAAAGCGTAGGTCACTGGACGCACAATAATTATTTATTTAGTTCAGTAACATAAACTTCATAAAAAATGGCGCCAATTGACAATGGGTGTGCTGGATGTTTTAAAGTAGTGCTTAAAGAGTTTTTGGCTTCCTGCATATGTAAGTTAAAATATGATTTAAGCTGTGCAAATGTCACCGAAAAACATTTTAAGGCCATCAAAAATGAACAAAAAAATGGATGGAAATGTCCAGAACGTCGTAACAAAATAAAACTGACAATACGCATACGCCAGCACGTCCATGTACGATCAGTCCTGCTTCACAGGAAACTGGGCCACCTGACTAAGACAACGATTTCGTAAATACAATAATCCTCGTGATCGTTTAAGCTTCGAATTACTTCGTAGTCGCTGTCATAAAGTCTCAGATGCCTGCTATATATGTAGAGTATAAACACAAAATTGAAATTAATATTCAGAAAAATTCGGAAATGTTTTGGTCCCATATCAAAAATAAACGTAGTGGGTAATCCAACGCTCCCCAGTCGTATGTATATGACGGGGTCGGTCGCAGATACGGGTCGGAGTATAGCAAACTTATTTGATAGTCATTTTTCTTCTATGTATAATGGCACAGGGCAAGCTTGCTTAATTAATTCGGTAATAGCCGACACTTCAAACGGTATTGCTAGGGTACAATTTATAGTAGGAAGTAGCGAAGGCATTGAACAAGCTTGATGTTTCTAAGAGCCCTGGGTCAGATGGCATTTCGCCAATATTTATCAAGAAATGTAGCAGGTGTCTTGCATCTCCCCTGTGCAAAATTTATAACAGCTCTCTTGAACATGGACAATTTCCTTAGGTATGGAAACGATCTATAATCGTTCCAGTTTATAAAAAAGACGATCCTTCTGAGGTTATAAACTATCGCCCCATCTCTTTATTTTCGTGTTTTACAAAGATCTTTGAGTCTCTTTTATGTCCTATTATTACACATCATTTGGATCCAATAATATTTGTCCATCAACATGGGTTTAAAATTGGTCGTGGTGTACAATCAAACTTGGCCGAGTTTGTGAATGATATATCGCGTGATCTTGACATGAAGTTGATGCGGTGTACACTGACTTCAATAGTGCCTTTGACAAAGTCAATCACTTGCTGCTGCTGTCCAGATTGGAATCGGCTGGGGTGCATGGATCGCTTCTAAGATGGTTTGAATCTTACTTGGTAAAGCGGTCCCTGGTTGTTGCCGTGAGTGGATACGAGTCACTGCCTTATCATGCCGCCTCGGGGGTACCGCAGGGATCTCACCTTGGTCCATGTCTATTTTCACTCTTCATCAACACTACTACTGCTGAAATCACTAATAGCAAGTATTTACTTTTTGCTGATGATTCAAAATATACAAAACTATATCATTCAGTGATGATATTTCCCACGTCCAAACATACTTAAATAATCTTCAAAAATGGTGCGATAATAATTACATGACCCTTAATGTTAGAAAATGCACCCATATAAGGTTCACACGAATGAAGCAACCTCAAATGTCAAACTACCACATAAATGACGTAAATACGAGATCTTGGAGTGATAATAGATGAAAAATTAAATTTCAGGAAGCATATTGATGAGGTCATGACGAAGTCGGCTTAAATGTTAGGGTTCCTAAAACGTAATACAAAGGGCTTCAAATTCGCTCGAACTAAGATTAAGGTATATAACGCCCTTGTGCGAAGCCGTCTAGAATATGGTGACGTCACATGGCAGCCCTATTGCGCTATTCATTCTCAACGAATACAAACCATTTAACAAGCCTTCACCCGCCATATTGTCCACATCGCCTAATATATCTCCAAGATACCAGGATCGTCTTACATTTTACGGAATGGAATCCATCAGAGTGTTGCATAATGAAAATGATAGTGAATATTTGACTTCAAACATTACCTTTAATGTACCCAGAAGATCTCCACGTAATCCTGTTTGCGATCTCCTTACTGTACCCTTATAGAAACCAAACCTTGGTCTAAACGCACCCCTAAGTAGAATGTGTAGGGATTTGAATTCGTTCCTCAAGACTGTGCCTGATGCTGATGTGTATCATGACAGGGAGAACCAGTTTCGTGCAAAAATATGCGAATCATTTGGCAAACCTCGAAATAAAAGCTGATAAGTGTGTACTGATCGTTACTGCAACCACTAAACTCACCAGACCAATAGTGTTAAGTTAAGTTTGAAATACCTATATATCAATGTGATTTTGTTAATATGTTGTCTAAACTGTGAATACTGTGTTAGCTCGTAAGTGGCATGTATATCAGAACCTTATTACTTAGATTATACCATTAATGTTACATATATGTGTGAGTTAACCTAATAAAAATAAAATAAATAAATAAATGACGAATACCCTGATGGTAAACGACTAGTCCCACATATGGACACATGTAACTCAAAAGACAAGTGCCTTGCCACACTGTGAGTTCCCTCTCGCCCCAGAATGGGGCAAGAGTTAGACCTCAGGTTTATGTTGACTGTATACGTTGCAACAGGGCCAGTAGGTGCTCCATACAATCCATAGGAGTAGGTACAATAACCTAAGCTATGTATAGTACAGTTCCTAGGTATTTTTTATTTATTAATACAACTACATGCACACTAGTACATCGGCGGACTTAATGCCCAGCGCATTCTCTTCCAGTAAACCTTTAGGTGGTGCAAATATCGTTAGTGGTAGGCGCACATAGGTTGCATTACTATTCAACAAAAATAAACACTACATACATAAATCTATATACAAATATACACACCATTTATATATATATATAATATTACTATTATTTATTAGGTATTATAGAGCATTTTTCAATCAAACAAGTTAAAAAAAAACATTGTAAAATTAGTATTCTAAATTTCGTTTTTCACACCAGTTCATGTATTATAAATAAGTCTTTTTTTTAATTTCAGGTCACGAGGGATGTATTGCATCAGTTTTGAACACAACCACGATTGCCCATTTGACTGAGTTTGCTTTACCATGATATTGATCTTCGTTTCTTGTCACGGAATTAGGATACCGGAAATATTTCTTTCTATCGACTACAACTGATGTGATTTATCTAAAAGAACGTAGCGTAACGAAGAAAGTAGTGTTGCGGGAATACCTTTTTTGTTATTTATTAGTTTTGTTAGAACCTATAATTTATATAGCTTGTTATTTGATCTACTCTTGTAGATGTTTCTCCAAAGAATAAGGACAGTTCAATAAGGTTTTTTTAAGGTGATATATTATATCATCAACAGCTCACGCCTAGCCAACACCAACGAACTCCCGAGACTCCATGTAGTTCATAAGTTATGTGTTAACTAGTTCTAAATGATTAAGTTATTTAATAAAGGGGTATGACACAAGAATATTATTCTCTTTTACGTAGCTTCTATTTTCATCACATCATTACATCAACAGCCTTTAATAGTCCACTGCTGGACATAGGCCTCTCCTTAGAAAGGAGGTTTTGGCCTACTATACCACGCTGGCCAGACGGGTTGGTATAGGGTTCGTGTCAAGTTTTCCTTCTTTTTGCAGTGCTGGTGTCCTGCGTTGTTTTGCGCCCTCAGTCGGCTCTTACGACACCCACGGGATGAATTGGTATAGTGACATTCCGTATTCTTAATCCGTCACTACACGGGCAATGGCCTCTATTTTAAACTAAAATAAAATATTTGTCATCAGGCTCGAAACAGTGGTTTCTTTTGGTACTAGAATAGAATAATTTATTTCTTTTAAACATGAGTGATACAGTACAAGTTTTACATTGCATGAAGATATGACATAGGTGAAAGTATACCTTTATTTTGCTAGGCTTCTAAAATTCTATTGTTCAAATTTTCGGAAAATTATATTGGTGACTTATGAAAGTAAAAATTGAATGTGTGTGCAAATGTCTAAAAACTATTTGTGTAAATACTGTATGTATTGTGGAGTACTCTGGTGGTTATAGTAAGTATGGTTGAGTGATTATTTGTTTTTGAAATATTTTGAGTACTTAAACATTTTTAATTTTGTTTTATGTTAGAGGGGGCAGACGGGTCACCTGATGGAAAGTGACAATCGCCGCCCATGTACGTCTGCAACTCAGAAGTCACAAAGGCGTTGCCGGCCTCTTAGGAAGGTTTGAAGTCTGGAAACACCTCAGACGATAACCTGTTCCACAGATTGGTTGTTCGTTGCAAAAAGTGTCTTTAAAAGCGCACGATAGTGGAGCACCAACCATCCAGGTATTGAGGATGAAAATTTTGCAATGTGGAACGATGGCGGAAAGTTGCAGCTGGTATTAGTCCGAACAATTCCTCGGAATAAATAAAATTCATCTATACCTTTTATTACTCGTGACTGTACAAACCGTTAGGTTCAGTGATCAGCACTAGTACTTTCGGACTTTGTAACTTAACTTACCAAAAGATATAGTAAAATATCACGTTAAAGAACATTTTATGCGCTTCCAAAAATAGCCATAGACTTTTTTTTAATGTGAAGGTTTAACCATAAATTTCAGTTTGCTATCCTGTTAAAGCAAATGAAGCAAACTAATTATAGTTAACCTCAAAATAGTAAGTAACAACCACAATTTCAACCATATATTGATTTAAATATCCTGTTATTTTTTGGTTTGCAATGGAGCTTTACAATGCAACTTTCTTCCAGTACGAATTTCAATGGTCTTTTCTTGATAAAAAAAAACTCTGTACAAAAATAAATGTAATACGATTTTTAAGTCGTACGGGGTGTTACGTGGGTGTATTTTTATCGACTGTGCAACGACTTGTCCAACCTTCCAAGAAACCGAATCTAACCTATGCAGACCAGGAGCAGGAAGAACCAGGCATATGACTGTGCCTGAAGACCGATATCTGTTCTCAACAATGCTCCATAACCGGTTTATTAGGGTTTTGTGCTGAAAAATGCTTTTCCTTTTTCTTGAGGAAGCAATCTAAGCAAATAGATTGTAAAAAGTCGTCTTGGTGGAAATGGTTTAGTTCCAAAACGAAATGTAAATGGTTCAAAATCGGGAGAGAGTTTAGTATAGCACGTAAACATAAAGAGTGGACGATAGACGATTGGTCCAGAGTTTTATTCACAAACGAGGCCAAATTCAACATGAATTTGGCGTCTGCGATTCGAGCCCTATGGAAGACACAGTGTATACAGAAGATTAGGACAACGGTCCAAGCAGGCATGTATTGAACAAAAAGTTTCATACGGCGAAGGATCTATACACTTGTAGGCTGGTATTTATTGCGTGGGCCGAACTGATCTAGTTATAAAATTAAACATAGGACCTTAAATACCGAAAGATACAAGAAGTAGGAGAAATTCTTAATGAGCATGTCAGCCCTGTTATGGTCAATATGGATGAAATCGAAATACAAATGCATGACAATGCACTAATATTGAATGAAATCAATCAAAATACCTCAATTAGTGCAGCCACCCAGCCACATATTCCAATAACGTTGAAGGCTCACACGTGTTATTCTAATGATACCTGTGACTGTTCAACTATCACATCTATAGATCATATTAAATACTTAGCTATAACTATTAGGAACTAGATAAAACATTGAACTTTAGAACTCACATTAACGTCCTTACAAATAGAGTCCGCAAATTGATCTATACGAGTATATTGATCTAAGCAAACAATAAGAACTGTCTACTTTGCTTTATGCTCCTCGATTATTACGTATTGTATCTCGTGTCGGGGTGGGGCAGCGAAGACTATTATCATGCCATTGGAAGTCGCTCACAGTACCGTCTTAAAAGTTGTAACTTTCCGACCTACTTTGTTTCCTACAAATGAGCTTAACAAGGATTGGTGTTCATAACATAAGGCAACTTGTTATCCGTCACGGAGTCTTATTACAGCATAGCAAAACCCCGTACATAAAATTAACAAAACATCGGAAGGATAGAATATGTATATATACTACACGTACACAAATAACACACACACGCATGCACATACACACGTGCACACACATGCATGCACACGTGCGCACGCACACGCATTTGTACATGTTGTCAAAGTTTTGAGAATTATTTTTTGGCAAATATTATTAACATCAAAAATTGTTAACATCAAACTATTACTCGTAAATTGTAGAACATAGCATTCGAACGTAAAACCGCAGACTGTTTACATTTAATACACTGGTGACAGCCCGGGGGGCAAACTTCCAAGAGGCGGCGCGCCTGGCCACAGGGGGGAGTCTCCCTGGTGGTCGGGCGCATTGAGGCGCTGGGCTTACGGGTGGCCCTAGATAAGACGGAGGCCCTGTTATTTCATGGGCCCCGTCGTGGTCCACCCCCTGGCGCCTCAATCGTGGTCAACTCGGTCCTCGTACCGGTTCGGGCCCAGATGAAATATCTGGGCCTGATCCTCGACGGGAGGTGGCTCTTCGACGAGCACTTCCGACAGCTTGCTCCAAAGCTGGTCGGCGCTGCGTCTGCCCTAGGGCGACTTTTGCCCAATATGGGTGGACCCAGCGTCGCGACAAGACGGCTGTACACGGGGGTTGTCCGGTCAATGGCACTGTACGGTGCACCGGTGTGGGCGGCGGCTCTGACCGCCCAGAATAGGGTACGCCTCTGGCGCCCTCAGAGGGTAATGGCGGTCAGAGCCATACGCGGTTACCGCACCGTTTCTACGGAGGTGGCGTGCGCGTTGGCCGGAACTCCCCCGTGGGATTTGGAGGCGGAAGTGCTCGCCGAAGTTTATCGGCGAGTGGCTGACTCCCGGGCGGAGAGCGGATTTCGCCCTCCGCCCGAGGATGTGCGCGAGTGGCGCGAAGCCGCTCGCCGAGCCACGATGGCTCGTTGGTCGTTCCGGCTGGAGACTCCACGCGCTGGCTTCGCCGCCGTTAAGGCTCTCCAGCCGGTCATCGCCGAGTGGGCAGGGCGGCAGCACGGGACCCTTTCCTTCCGGCTGACGCAGGTGCTTTCCGGGCACGGTTGCTTCGGAAAGTACCTGCACACGGTCGCTAGGAGGGAACTGAGTCCCGCCTGCCACCACTGCGACTGCAGTGAGGACTCGGCCCAGCACACGCTGGCGGTCTGCCCCGCATGGGCGGCGCAGCGCCGGGCCCTCACTGCAGTCATCGGAGTGGATCTCTCGCTACCGGCCGTAGTACGCTCCATGGCCGGTAGCGACAGTTGTTTTACCGCGGTCGCAACCTTCTGCGAGGTAGTAATCTCGCGGAAGGAGGCGGCGGAGAGGGCCCGGGAGGACGACCTCCACTCGGACCCGATCCGCCGCCGGCGAACCGGGCGGCGGAGGCCCGCCTATCACAGCCTCATGCCGCCCTGAGTGTGGCCGCGGGTGGACGGGGTGGGTTTCCCCTCCACCCGCATTAGTTTGGCCAGCCGCGAGGGTGCGGCGTCCGCGTGTGCCGGACGTCGCCTAAAGAGAGGAACATCAACATTGAGACGGAGCCCGCACCAGGAGCGGGCTGGCGCTAGGAGGGGTCCGGATGTCTTAACAACAGCTGTTCCCGGATCCCTCCTGTTACAGGCGCAGAGTGGCACACCGTGTGGTTTTAGTCGGTCCGAGTCCGACACACCACCCCGCCGCAAACCCCGGAGGGGTGACGGTCCGAGGGGATTTCCACACGTTAAAAAAAAAAAAAAAAAAAAGGTTATTTAATAACTTAGCAAGTAGTAGAGCACCTCAACCACTACAATTGTAGTATTAGTACACACTTACAACTTGTATACTTGTACTAAAATTTTTATCTCTATATATATAAAAATGAATTGCTGTTCGTTAGTCTCGCTAAAACTCAAGAACGGCTGGACCGATTTGGCTAATTTTGGTCTTGAATTATTTGTGAAAGTCCAGAGAAGGTTTAAAAGGCGAATAAATATGAAAATGCTCGATTTTTTTTTAATTCCGAGCATTTTTTAATTATTTTCATAAAAAAAGGATTCCTTTTGTTTGTTTATTTTATACAAAAGTTTAGGTCTTT